CATAAGTGAGTGTTAGCTCATCACCTAACACTAGTGTTGCCTCTGCCTACATTCTGTCTGGTCCCGGAGAGGACCGATGGCAGGCCATGTTTGGTGGAAGGGAAAGAAGGCCATTTGACAATTTAAATTGCTTTTGAGGGCCAAAGAACCTTGGCATTTCTTAGAAATCTATTAACAGTAAAATGATGTTAAACAAAGGGGCGGGGGTGGCTGGTGAGCTGGCTTAGTGGGTAGAAGTGCTGGTTGCCTGGTGACCTGGGTTTAATCCCCAGAGCCTCACTTGGTGGGAGGAGAGACAATTCTGACTTCCACGTGTGTGTGTGTGTGTGTGTGTGTGTGTGTGTGTGTGTGTGTATGTATGTCGACACACAACCTAAAAAGTCAAAATTCGCTGGGTGGTGGTGGCGCACACCTTTAATCCCAGCACTTGGGAGGCAGAGGCAGGCGGATCTCTGTGAGTTCGAGGCCGGGCTGGACCGATAGCCTCCAAAACAATACGGAGAAACCCTGTCTCGTAAAAACCAAAAAAAAAAAAAAAAAACAAAATTCACAGTCTCCTTCCTTGGCTCTTGTGCAGATTCACCACAGTGAGTAGTTTTTATGGGAAGAATGTTTACTTCTTGACAAACTACAAGATAATGGTGACTATAAAGGAAGCCACGCAGCAATTGGCTTAGAGAGGAAGCTGACACAATTCCATTCAAGAATGAGGTTCATTAGATTGAGAGAGGGCCTCTGGTGGAAGAGGGAACAGTAGACAACGCAATGTATGGAGAGTCAAACATGGTGGGGTCTTAAAGGGAAGGGCAGATATCTCTTAAAGCCTGGAGAGGAGAGAAAGATAATGAATGAGTGAATGAATGAATGAGTGAATGAATAAGCCAACTACATGAGAAGGATGGTAGTGGGGGTTGGAGGAGACTCTTCAGCGATTACCTTTTGGAGCTATCTGAGCCCAGAGCAAAGGAAAGGTCTGGTGTTTTATTACCTTTTAGGGATGGTGAGAAGTTTTGCACCATGGAATTATTTCAACACAGCCATGTGTGACCAGGAACATGGAGGACCCAGGCATCCTAAGTCAAGAGCTAGTGAGTCCCATCACAGGTGCTTTTATCTCTGTTGCAGACAGAACCACAGGGACACCTGAAGAGGATCATCACAGGGAGATCTTTGTGTCTAATGGGCAATAGGAGAACTGTTAAGTGTTCAAGGGAGCTGACTTGATGGACCTCCTACTCTTTAAAGTAACACATATGGCCATATAAAGCTATCCCTAGAATAGATGGAAATGTTCACATCTAGAAAGGGTTACTAGAAAATCACACCACACACGTTCCCTTTCCTCCTCATCCTTCCTCTGACCTTGCTGTGCTGCAACAGAGGTTTACAGACTCCAGCAGTCTGTGATGGTACCACTCAAAGGGGAAGGAACGGAGCAGATGACTTTCAATTCTACAGATGCAGAGGTAGATGGATCAGTACTTTCTGGTTCAAGAGGCCAACACCAGCCATTTATTTTTAAAAATTCCATTGGTGTGTGTGTGTGTGTGTGTGTGTGTGTATGTGTATGTGTATGCACGTCATGCTGAATGTGTGGGGGTCAAGGGACAACTTGCAGGAGTTCTATTTTTCCACTATATGGACCTGGGAATTGAACCCAGGTTGTCAGGCTTGCCATCAGGTGACATTACCCTCTGAGTCAACTCACTGGCTTTTCACCAAGAGTCTTGCCTTTCCTTCGTCAGCATGAGAATTTCAACAGACCCACGCTGAGTCAGCAGTGCCCAGCTTTGGGAACTCTTCTTTGCCAGGTGTGTAGATTTCTGTGCAATACTCTGTCTCCAACTCTTCTTCAGGTAAAAAGGGTGTGTTCCTGACTGACATAACACCTGAGGGAGTAGCCATGAAAGCTGGGGTCCTGGCTGAGGATCACTTGATTGAAGTGAATGGAGAAAATGTAGAGAACTACAGTCACGAGGACGTGGTGGAAAAGGTAACCCTTAAAGGGCTCACTTCTCACCTCCCTTCCGCTCTGCTCTCATTGGAAACGGGGGAGGGGGGGTGGCAGGTCCAGTGTGTGATGGGGGTGGTAGGTCCAGTGTGTGATGGGGGTGGTAGGTCCAGTGTGTGATGGGCGTGGTAGGGCCAGTGTGTGATGGGGCGTGGTAGGCCTGCTGGATGAGTGTGTGATGGGAGAACGTCCAGCCAGGTGTTGGAGGTGTTCGCATCAAGGGCGCAGAGCCGCTGGTGGCACGGGCGGTCCTAACAGGGCTTTTGTCGCCCTCCCCCCACACTCCCTTTCAGTTTCCATTTCTACATTTACTTGTGGTCAACCACATCTGAAAATAATGGAAACTTGCAGAAATCAATGGTTCCTAAGTTTAAATAGCTATTACTACAATACATTGTTGTAATTTATTTCTTATTTATTGTTAGTCACTGTGTCCAACTTCTAAGTTAAACTATCGTAGGTATGTGTGCAGAGGCAGAAACAGCACAGGCGACGCTTACTATTGTCTGCCATCTGTGGATGGTGGCTTCCTTCAGTGACTGACAGGTATAGTGCACAGAGATGGGTCTTATTATTGTCTGCCATCTGTGGATGGTGGCTTCCTTCAGTGACTGACAGGTATAGTGCACAGAGATGGGTCTTATTATTGTCTGCCATCTGTGGATGGTGGCTTCCTTCAGTGACTGACAGGTATAGTGCACAGAGATGGGTCTGCTAGATACCTTCTGGATGGAGGTGTGGGTGGCAAGGGATGGATTTCATCATTCAAAACAGAATACAGTGTTAAGCTTATAAGTAATCCCTCGAGTCTCCATTTAGCATTTCCACGTGTGGATGATCGTGGGTAACTGTACTGCCAGGTATTGGAAGAGCCACGGCAATGCTGGCCCTGGAGCAGGGCTGTCTTTTTGAGGTCAGATGGAACCTTGAAAGCGGACCAACCTCTTAGTAGAATGATCTCCGGAGTTGACCCTTACTTCCTTTTCTAAAATCCCATCCTGCCTTTCTCACCTGCACATCTTTCTGGGCTTTGAGAACTTGGGCTCCCACTGTGTGTGGTTGGATGTTTTCCTTCAAAGATAGATACATCCAGTCAGGCTGGGGGAAGCAACACAAGCACTCGTGCTCAGGCACTCACGTGCCCCGAGGTTTCTGCACGCACGGAGGCCTTGCTCCCAGCATTGTTCATGGGGGATGCCCCATGTTGCAGGTCTGCATGTCTTGTTGCAGGTGAAGAAGGGAGGGAGCCGTATCGTGTTCCTCCTTGTGGACAAGGAAACTGCCAAGCGCCACAGTGAGCAGAAGACGCAGTTCAAGAGGGAAACAGCCAGCCTGAAACTGCTGCCCCATCAGCCCCGGGTGGTGGTGATCAGGAAGGGAAGCAATGGCTATGGATTCTATCTGAGGGCAGGCGCCGAACACAAAGGTGAGGCCCTCAGTGCTGGCTCACCAAGCTCCGGCCCCACCAGGAATGCAGCGGGTAGGGGGCCTGAGCTGCTCCCACGGGGGTCTCCTGCTTCTACTTCCCTAGTACTGGCCCCTTTCCATTCTGAGGCTTACCTGCTGGGTATGACTTGTGGCTGGCAAGTAAACCCACTGACTTCCTAGGAACTTCTTAGCCTGCCACTTTGCCAAAAGAAACCATCAGACACTTAGTAAACACCGGGTCCTCCATCTTTTAAGATCCTCTGCTTGTTTGAGGCTGGTTTGCTCTGAAAACAGGCTGGAAAGTAGCCGTGTAGGCCCCTGGGGTGCAGAGAGACAGAAGTTGGATTCAGCATGCCTTCATACCTATTTCTTCAGACCCTGGGATTCAGCAGAAATCCTAGAGCTTACTTGCTTGGGAGCTTTCCTGGTAACTTTGCTTTGTGTGGGTGGGGTAGGTCAGATCATCAAGGACATAGAATCTGGAAGCCCAGCAGAGGCAGCTGGCTTGAAGAACAATGACTTGGTAGTTGCTGTCAATGGCGAGTCTGTGGAAGACCTTGATCACGACAGTGTGGTTGAAATGATTAGGAAGGGCGGAGACCAGGCTACACTGTTGGTGGTGGACAAAGAGGCAGAGGAAGTCTACAGACTGGTAAGTAATTCCAGTAACACAGATAATCAACACAACGACTATGTATGCATGCATTAAGCTCTGACTTTGAGCTGAGTTAATTTTGTTCTTCACCCTGGAAAGGGACATAACAACCCTTAAGGCCAAATTGTGGCTCAAATTGGTAGTGACAGAGTGTTAAATGAGTTATAAATTCCAGGACTGAAAACTTTAAATCTGGAGCCAGGCGTTGGTGGCGCACGCCTGTAATCACAGCACTCAGGAGGCAGAGGCAGGCGGATCTCTGAGTTCGAAGTCAGCCTGGTCTACAGAGTGAGTTCCAGGACAGCCTACAAAACAATACAGAGATACTCTATCTGAAAAAAAAAAACAACTTTGATTTGTAAATTAGCTGAAGAATTACTCTTGCTGATCTGAGATAAGCTATGAAGAACAGGAATCTTAAATGGACAGAGCATAAATGGTTTTATTTGGTTTTAGATTCATTTTTATGTGTGAGTCTTTGTGTGTGTGTGTGTGTGTATTTGCATGTGTGTGAAGGTGCCAAAGTCAGAAAGGGTGTCAGATCTGGAGCTGGAGTTACAGGAGGTTGTGAGCCACCTATTGTGAGTACTGGGAACCGAACCTGGGTCCCTCTGCAAGAGGTGAGCACTCTTAATGGCTGAGCATCTCTCCAGCCCTGATAAGTGGATGTGCTATTGTTGGTCAGAAAGCTTCTTCAGTCTTGAGTAAAGACCTAGAAAGGTTTATTAGTTTGTTGTTAATGCAAAACCACAGCTCTCACCTCAGAAGGAATAATTTATTTTGGAGTTAAATCTGAGTGGCCGTGGTCCGAAAACACAGGTTTACCAAGTCCCACCACATTCCAACATGGACGCAGTTTAATGGAGTTCTGAAGGCGAGGATGTAATGACTTCACTGGACCCAAGATAAACGACAAATGGGTGTTTATTGGGGACACTCACACAGAAAATACAAAGAACTGCGGTGGGGGCGGGGCGTTCCTCTGCCGTTCCTACCAGATTGGCTGACCCACCAGAAAAGAGTGCATAAATAGAAGTCAGGCCTCAAGCTTCCCTCTTTCTGTTTCTGTCTGCCTGAAGCCACACCCAAAGGGGTGTGGCCACCATTACAGGTTCATAGACAAGCTGCCTACAGAGCTTTTATAGAAGCAGACCAAAGGTATAAATGCAGTCCTGAAAAAAGTACATTTGTGGAAACATGCAGGTTACAGTGAGGCGGAGGCCTCAGACGCCGTGTGACAGATGTAGCCCTTTGGCTGATGAAGAACAAATTTTGTTAATCCATTCCAACTTGTTTATCAAAATGTTGGAGGCGGGTAAGGAATCTTTAGGCTACAGATGGCCCTAGTGAAATGGACTCTGGACCTGCAGCATCCCAACCTCTCCACAGGGCTGGAAGCTCTGACTGGTGGGGACACAGTGGCTGTACAGGAATTCTCATTCTCATTGCCCTTGGTAAACACAGTGGACACAGGTTCGCCAAGAACAAGACACGCTGATGGAGATCCGCACTCCCTCCCCTCCTTCTCACAGCTGTTTGCATGTTAAGGCTTCTAAAAACATTTGCTGTTGTTTTTAAATTATATGCTTATGTGTGGTTGAGTGTGGGCATGTCTACATGGGAGCAGGTGCCCATGGAATCTAGAAGCGGGTGTTGCGTCCTGGAGGTGGAGTTACAGGCAACTGTGTAACCTGTCTGGTGGGTGCTGGGAACCAAACCTGGCTCCTTTGTAAGAGTGGCATGTGCTCTTAACCACTGAGCATCTCCACTCCAGTGTTAACGTTTATAATGTTATCATGAGAACGGATGCTCAGTCCATTTCAACAGCTGTCTGGAGGCCAAAGTGCCATCTGCTTTGCTGAATGTTGGTCACAGATAATAGTCTTCTTTTGGTTACACAGTAACAGAAGTACCTCAGAGCCACAGCAAAGGGAGGAAGAGTGTGGTGGTGACACTGACCTCCTTTTATAGCTTGGAAACTAAGCTTAGACACTAAATGACTTAGATACTCAGCTTAGCAGAGACACAAATCAGTATTTGAACTCAAGTTCTCAGACTCCATCAGATTTTTCAAGATACTTTTGTAAACAAGATTGAAGAATTAATTGGATGACTTTGTTAGCTGTCTGAATAATCCCACCGAGAATCTTTGCTACTAGGATAATGTCAACCTGAACAGAAGTCTCTATGACACACACACTACTTGCTCCTATCCTGATTTATTACATTGGGATGGAGACACGTTTGATGTATTTTCAGAGGATGGAAAGGAATGCTGGATGATAGACAGGAGGTGTGATTAACATTCAAAACATCTAGCCAGGGGCTGGGCGCTAGCTGAGTCCAAAGTTCTTGCCAGCGTGAGGATCTGAGTTCGATCCCCACCTCTGTAATGAAGTCAGCTGTGGCAGTGTGTGCTGGAGGGGTGGGGGTAGGAGGGTCCCTGGGGCCCAGTGGCTGGCCAGCCTTGCCTAATGGGGGAATGCCAGGCCAATGACAGGCACTGCCACAGAAGAGGCAAGGTGGAAGGTCACCCAAGGGATGCCAGCCACGGTTATCTTCTGTATACCCGTGTGTACCTACACACCCACGGACACAACACCCTCCTCCTCACACGAGGAAGAATAAACATGAACAAGACAAATAGAGAAGGCTTTAAAGTACTATTCCAACTTGAAAGTAAATTGAATAGGAAATGTCGAGACCATATTTGGTACTCCAAAAAGCTGCCTCCTCCTAACAAAACAATTTAAGGCTGGCTTCTAGAGTTAGTCGGTCAGAACAGCCACAGAAACACTAGTAATGAAACCAGGGGTTAGCTGTCCTGAGCGCCAGCTTTCTTGTTGTAAGGCACCGTGAAGGGCAGGGAGAGGACTAATTTAGTTACTACCTAGCACATGTGGGTATCTCACATGTATGGCCATTGAATTGATATCATGTCCAGTTCTGAGAACCTGGTCCAACAAAGTCCTGCAACCAAAAAGGCGATGACGGAGGGGATGGGAAGATGCTGGTGTTACCTTGCAGCAGGGCAGGCTCCCGAGGAGGGGAAGTCTTGAATGTGAAAGGTTGATGGGCGGTAAACATCTGTTCGTCCCTTTTTTGTTTCGCTTTGCTTTTCTAAGAAAGAAAATTATTTGAAAGGCTGTTCGCATGACTTAAGGTACAGGGAGCTATTTCTGGCTTAAGAACAGCCATAGCTGTCATAAATGGGGGCAACTTGACACTGTAAGCCACTGTTTTGATGTTGTAAATTGATGCTGGCATTGAGGGTTTTGTTGTAATTCCTGGGGGCGGGGGATCTATGATAGAAGGATGTCTGTAATTTTCCTGGTTTTGGTTAAAGTGAGAGGGGAGTCTGCCCACTCTCAAGGGTGGGTTTCATGGCTGGTGTGGGGGTAGGGTGGCTCTCTGAGATACAGCAGTGAATATGTCAAAACCCCTAACGATTCCTGACGGGGGCTAGACTCATGAGTACTCGAAAGGATGGCTAAAAACCTTCTGCTGCTGCTGCGTTCCTGTTGGGTGCTATGATACCAGTGGTCCATCCCCAGGCAGACACCGCTGCTCTGCTTGCTGGGGAGAGCTCAGGGCTACGTTGTGAGCCACTCGGATGACTTCCCACATCATCTAGTCATGGAAGTGGAGCGTCTGTAAACATCCCCGAGGGCAGTATGGGGCTGAGCTGCCAGGTCCCTGGCTCCTAAGGGCAATGTGGGCAGATGGACCCCACATCTCCTCTTTGCTAAGCTTCTACAGGATGAGATGGACACAGTGTTCCTCCCTCATTGTTTGATGTCTAACAAATGTCCTGGACACCTACTCACCTCAATTTAACTGCTGAGCAGGTCCAAAGCACACCCAAATCTAGCCCCTAACTCAGGCAAAATCCTTATCCAGCTAAGTTAACGCTATTAAAATACAAATTAAAAAAAGGGATGGGGGAATTTCGCTCAATTTTGTTTCAAAAGATCGAGGACTTGAGTTTGACTTGTAATGTTGACCAGGATGGCACAAAAATTGCAGTCTCAGTGCTGGGAACGCAAAGATAGACCCCTAAGGCATGCTTGGCAGGCCAGGCTAAACTACTGGGTGAGATTCAGGCCAGCAAGACGTGTCTCAAGGGTTAGCCGGTGCTCCTGGGGATAACTACACAAAGGAAAGCAGGAAACTGCCAGAGGAAGCTGGAGCAAACACAAAGGCATCAGGGATGAATGTGCTCGAGCACTCGAAGAAAGAATAGTTCATTTCCTGTTCTCTATGTTCAAGACCATCACATTGCTGTCTTCATGACGGCTGCGGCAGTGAGAGGGAGCAGCGTATTTACAGACAGGAAGAAGCTTGGCATGAGAGAAGTGCTAATTACAGTAATTAGCAAAGAAAGTTGAGCGCCAGTGCTGGTGACAGCAAGCAACTGAGGGACAGGATCCACTTTTGCCTCTGTATTTGGTCACCTCTCCCATTAGTGTGTGGAGTTGATCTTTTCTGATGACTTTGAGTCTTCAGTTAGTCACAAAAATGCTTTTGGTTTTTTGAGACAGGGTTTCTCTGTGTAGCTTTGGCTGTCCTGGAACTCACTCTGTAGACCAGGCTGGTCTCAAACTCAGAGATCTGCCTGCCTCTGCCTCCCAAGTGCTGGGATTAAAGGTGTGCGCCACTACTGCCCGCTACCTTTTAGTTTATATAATGTGCTAAAGACAATTTTACTGAGGACAGGGGAGAGCAGGCCTACTTGGGTAGTCCCTTAGAAGTGTTCCCCTCTGGAGAGTGTAGGCAGTGTAGTTCAGTGATCTGCCTGCTTTTGTGGAGTTAAGCTAGTAATCTGTTAGATAGCCTTGGGGTTTGGTGCGGAAATCCATACTATTTGTCTTACACACTTGTGTTTGTACACGTTTCTACCTCAGGCTGTAGTTGAAAAATTTAGAGCCTACAATGGAGGAACAGACATGTATGACATGTGTATTAAGCCGCACGTTCAATGATGTGTAACTGCTCATATGTGTTATTTTTCCCCTTTATTCTCAAAAGGCTCGTTTTTCTCCACTTCTCTACTGCCAAAGTCAAGAACTGCCCAATGGTTCTGTCGCGGAGGCTCCAGCTCCTGTGCCTGCTCCTCTGGAGGCCACAAGTCCAGACACAACCGAGGATGCAGGAGATCATAAACCCAAGCTCTGTAGGCTGATTAAAGTCGATGACAGCTATGGCTTTCACCTGAATGCCATTCGGGGTCAGCCAGGCTCCTTTGTCAGAGAGGTACGGTAACTGATCCCAGCAGCCCAGCAAACACAGCCAGTTAGGATCGGCACTGTCAGTGCAAGCCATGCTTTTTTGACATGATGCTAGCCGCAGAGGCAGTCATAGTCTCCACCTTCAGGACTGCTACCTGTCTGCTTTTGTGCAAGCGTCATAGCGCCTGTACCCTGTGGGGATGGGCAGTGAGATCCCAGCAGCTCTCAAGTTGGGATCCCAATGCCTTCAGCCCAAAGATGTGCAGCACGGTGCTTGGCCAGTGTGGAGGAGGGGGGTATAGCCTCTCAAGGAGAAAGATGTGGTTAATTTTTAGGAGGGAAGCTGCCTGGCACACCCTCGCCATGTCTGGAAGTGACACTCGGAAACTTCTGCTCACAGGTACAGAAGGGTGGCCCTGCTGACAAGGCGGGGCTGGAGGATGAGGACATCCTCATTGAAGTGAACGGGGAGAATGTGCAAGATGAACCCTACGAGAAGGTAGTGGACAGAGTCAAGAGCAGCGGGGAGCACGTCACTCTCCTGGTCTGTGGAAAGGAGGCCTATGACTACTTCCAAGCTAAGAAAATCCCCATCGTTTCCTCCCTGGCTGACCCCCTGGTCTCTTGCCCTGATGGCCATGGAGAAGCATCAGCAGAGGCAGCGCACGACTCCCACCCAGAAAAAGAACGAGTGAGTGGCGACTTGCTTCTCTGGGATCCAGTCCCAGTGCCTGTTTCTCAAAAATAACAGGGTAACCAGCCTGTCAGGGTTTTGTGAGGAGAGGAGGAGGTATACATGGACAAATTTATTGTCGTCTTAGAAATGTGGCCCTCATTGTGGAGCTCAGGCTTGGCTCTGCATCCTGAGTGCTGAGACTGTGGCTTGGGAAGTAGCATGTGCTTGGCAATCAGTCAATGCAGAAGTTAATCAGAATCATGATGGAGACCACCAAAAGAACCCGACTCGGTTCTGTGGAACGAGCTCTGGTTCTGCTGCACAGCAGGGAATTTCCTGCTCTGTGCTTTTAGCTTCCCTACTTTTTACACTATTCCTATAGAACAGGGAAATGTGTACAATTGTTTTCAAAACAGTGCCTGGCTCACAGTGAGTGAAAACAGACATGGCCAAGGTCAGTATTAAGTGACAGGTATTACAATTATTTTTGTCAGAATTTTTTCTTAGATGAACTTTTGAGATTCAAAAATGAACTGGCATCCAAGTTCACAAAAGGAAATTCTCTGAAAAGTCCTACTTTTCCTTTCCATTGTATTCTACTGATAGGACTATAGTGGTCTTATAGAAAACTGTCTACATGTGTATGTTTGTATATATTTATATATACAATGAGAGCTTTGTTTGCATTGAATACTAAGTTTGCATTATATAGGAAACAAGCATAGATGTCTTCTAGAAGTGCACGGCTCTCCTCCCTGACGTAGGCATGCAGTCTAGAGCAGGCCATGCTCTCCTCCCTGCTGTTCACGCTGCCGGTGTAAACCTTGGTTTTCTTTTACACAGACTCACAGCACAGCCTCGAATTCTTCTTCCAGCTCTGAGGACACAGAGATGTGATGAGAGGGAGCAGTGGCTTTGGCTGCCCGAGTCTTACATGCCCAGGAGCTGCCTCTGCAAGGAAGGAGCTCTGCGGACCCCATTAGACCTCTGGAACCACTTGTCCCACGTGACTGTCTGCTGTTGTAAGGGCTGCTCAATGCTCAACTTAGCCGGAGGGAGCTGCCAGGCCGTTCTGTGTGATGTCTTCCAAAGCGCAACTTTCCATTTCTGTTGGTGAAACCTCTTCTGTGCGCTTCTTGAGCACCGGAGATGATTCATTTGTGTATGTGAGTGTGGCTAATGAAAGCATCAGGCAGACATCCTGCTGGAGGTGTTTCTGTAGCAATGCTGTGTCTAAGAAGCATTATCAGGGTGCCTTTTGAGTTGTTTGCAACTTCCCTGTTGGCTAATAAGGTCTGAATTTGAATAGTGCCTTTGTTCTGTATAAACATTTCATTTGCTTCTAGAAGCCCCAAACAGTAACACTATACACTATGACCTTAGTAATAAAAGAAGACTTCCAGGCAATATATTTCAGAATTTTCCTATATTGCACTTGCATAATAAAAAACATCTTCCTTTTATAGACAAGAGCTTGAGTTCCAGGACAGGAGAGGGCCTGGGGCAGTTCATAGCTACCTACTGTCTCATCCCTCCACACAAGAGGACGACGGAGACAGCCTCACTGCTGGACTAGTGTAGGGCATTCATGCTACTAATTTAAAAGGAAATAAGAGCACTCCTAAAATCTCTTGGTAAAATCTACTTCAGTTGTCTATCAGCCCTTTCCCAGAAAAGAACAGACAACCTTTTGGTTATTTTTATGAGGTAAAGATGGGTGAGGAGGGATGCAATTTACCTTAGACCACAATAACACAGCACACCAAGCCCGGCTTGATAAGAGAACCCAAGGCCACAGTGTTAAAACTCTGATTTTACTAAGTTTTTCAAGGGAAGCCACCTACTCAGGAGCACCAGGGTGTCCTCATGCCGACCCTCGCCCTCTCGTTTTGCACAGCCGCAGACCCACACATGCTCCCTGCTGAATGCTGTGGGGATTTCTCCCTCTTGTGCCTTAGTCGAAGCTGTTCGTGACGTCAGTATTGTAGGAGGAAGAAGGCGTGTACTGGAGGCAGAGTAAACCGCCCAGCAGCTCATCTGTTTGAAGAATTTAAGGTCCGGGTACAGGTACTGTCCATGGTGTCTCACAGGTCAGGGCGCCATGTGCTTCTCTGGCGCCTGCTTGTGAGCCAGGTAGAGGAACAGTATGCTGGAGAGGGCACTGACCAGGAAGATGACGTCAAACCAGCGGTGGTAGAAGTTGAACTGCAGCTCTCCGAGCACTTCTGTGATGATGGTGCGGTACTCTGGGGGCATGCTCATGCGGATCAGCAGCACGGAAGACACGAAGTACATGCCCTGCGAAGTCAACCAGCTACTGCATGAGTCTGTCTTTCCAGGGGCAGGCCAGGCAAACGTCAGGACTATTTTTAAAACTTTTGTTGGGGCTTCAGAGAGTACAGTGGCTAAGACTGGCTGCTTTTTAAGAGGACCTTGGTTTGATTCCCAGCACCATCATGGTGTGGCTCACAACCATTTGTACCTCTAGTCCCAGGAGGCTGAACACCCTCCAGGCACAAGCATGGTGTGCATATGTACATGTAGGCAAAACACCCATACACATAAGCGTGGGTGTGTATCTTCAGTGTGCACACAGGTGTGTGGGTTTGCGTGTGAGTGATGAGAGGACAACTTGCCAGGGCTGGTTCTCCTTCTGCCATGTTGTCTGGGTACTGAACTCAGGTCATCAGGCCTGGAGGCAACCACAGGGAGTCACTGAGTGAGCTACCATGCTGGCCCAACTAAAACAATGTAAACATTTCTGAGCTGGAGAGCTAGAGATCTCAGTGGTTACATGTGCATGTATTGCTTTTGCAGATAACCCAAGTCTGGTTCCCAGCTCACTGCCTATAACTTCAAATTCAGGGGCAACTGGACTCACATATATACACACAACCTTCCCCCCCCCAAAAAAAGCAAAACAAAACCCAAACATTTCTGATCTGGGTGTAGCGGTGCATGCCTGAAATTCTAGCACTTGGGAAGCAGAAACAAAGATCAGGAGCTCAAGGCCACCCTTCACTACACAGAAGACTTGCGGACAGCATGGACTATATGAGACCTTGTCTCATAAAACAAAAGCTCCCCCAACAAAATCACATTTTTGGCATTTTACAGTTGTAGACACAAAGGCAGATCATTAAACTTACCATTATCTGTGCTAACAGCAGGACAATGACGTTGGAGGACTTACTGCTGGAGATGGCATAAAAGAACTGTTGAGAAAGGGAGGAGAACAAGCTTGGGTGGTACAGACAGATTCCTGTCATGAACAATACGCTACCCAATTAGCCTTTAATAGCATCTCCTTCATGGCACAAAAAGTACAGCTAGTTTAGAGGTTGAGGCTATAGAGAGGGATTTAAAATACAAGAAAAACAAGTTCTCCCTGAGATGGTTGGTGGTTTTATGTGTGACACAAAGTGACCCTCTGTTGTTAAATTTTAGAAACTATAATGCCCTGGACATCACAACACAGCACCAAACAATTTTGGGCCACTCCAAGCACCTGTATCTGTAAAGGGCTCCTGGGATCTCCCCAGATTGTGTTAGATGTCTGGAGTCCCTTCCTCCTAATTTCTCTTCTCTCAGGGTTTGGATCTTCTACCAGAGAGGATCCATTTCTTGACACCATGTGGTCTTCATTATGTTGCTCAGAAAAGAGCTGCATGTTCTGCCCCTTATCTTCTTCACATGCGACTTACAAGCATTCTAACCCTGAGTGTCTGCTTGTCATTTTTTCTAAGTATCTGCTGAATACCATGTTTGGTTATACATGAGACAAGTTATCAATGTAACCCCCCCAAAAAAACCAACCCACTTGATCATCTCATTAGATGCTGAAAAAGTCTTCAACAAAATCCAACAACCCTTCATGATAAAAACCTTGGAGAGAGATCAGGGATAGCAGGAACATACTTAAACATAATAAAGGCAATATACCGCAAGCCAACAACAAACTAAATGGAGAGAAACTCAATGCAATTCCTCTAAAATCAGGAACAAGACAAGGCCGTCCACTCTTTCCATCTCTCTTCAATACTTAAGTTCTAGCTAGAACAATAAGACAACAAAAGGAGATCAAAGGGATACAAATTGGAAAGGAAGAAGTCAAACTTTCACTATTTGCAGGTGATATGATAGTTTACACAAGTGACCCAAAAAATTCTACCAGGTTACTCTTACAGCTTATAAACACCTTTAGTAAAGTGGCAGGATACAAGATTAACCCAAAAAATCAGTAACCCTCCTATAAATAGAAGATAAATGGTCTAAGAAAGAAATCAGAAACATCACCCTTTACAATAGCCACAAACAACATAAAATATCTTAGGGTATGAAGGGCACACGAGCGAGTTAATAATGGCACCGAGTGAAAGTTAGGAGGGTGAATCCTGAGATGTTTACAAAAAAGGGTGATTGGTCACCAAGATTGAACCAGGTGAGGTTCACTGTGTGAACAGCTCGTGCCCACTAGGTAAAGCATAGGGCGCCTAGGCACACGACAGGCTGACCTTTAAAACCACTGGTTGGCTGTTTTCCCACTCTGTGGTTTTTTTGCTTGAAAAGATGCTTGTTGTGGGGCAATAAATGAGTTCCTGCTTGACTAGGCTCCCTGCTTCATCTGATTGTCTCTGGGATCCCAGGAGGCTGGTGTACTTACCCTTCCTCGGACCCAGCTCAGACTTGGGTGGTTGGGCTAAGACCCTGCAGGGATAACTCTAACCAAACAAGTACAAGACCTGTATGACAAGAACTTTAAGTCTTTAGAGAAAGAAATTATAATATCAGAAAATGGAAAGATCTCCCATGCTCTTGGATAGGTAGGATCAACATAGTAAAAATGACAATCTTATCAAAAACAATCTACAGATTCAATTCAATCACCATCTAAATTCCAGCACAATTCTTCACAGACCTTGAAAGAACAATACTCAACTTTATTTGAAAAAACAAAAAACCCAGGATAGCCAAAACAAACCTGCACAATAAAGGAACTTCCAGAGGCATCACCATCCCTGACTTCAAGCCCTACTATAGAGCTATAGTATTGAAAACAGCTTGGTATTGGCACAAAAACTGACAAGTGGACCAATGGATCCAATTGAAGACTCTGATATTAATCCATATACCTATGAACACTGGATTTTTGACAAAGAAGCTAAAATTATACAATGGGAAAAAGACAGTATCTTCATCAAATGGTGCTGACATGTAGAAGACTGCATATAGATCCATATCTATTACCATGCACAAAACTCAAGTCCAAATAGATCAAAGACCTCAACATAAATCCAGTCACACTGAATGTCTTAGAAGAGAAAGTGGGAAGTATCCTTGAATTCATTGGCACAGGAGACCACTTCCTGAACATAACACCAGTAGCACAGACACTGACAATAAATAATAAATGGGGCCTTTTGAAGTTGAGAAGGTTCTGGAAGGTAAAGGACAATGTCAGCAAGACGAAATGACAGCCCACAGAATGGGAAAAGATATTCACTAACACTACATCTGATAGAGGGCTGATCTCCAAAATATACAAAGAACTCAAGAAACCAGATATCAACTACCAAATAATCCAATTAAAACATGGGTACAGATCTAAATAGAGAATTCTCAATAGAGGAATCTCAAATGAATTGCTCAACATCCTTAGCCATCAGGGAAATGCAAATCAAAACAACTCTGAGATACAATCTTACACCTGTCAGACTGGCAAAAGTCAAAAACACTGATGACAGCTTATGCTGGAGAGGATGTGGAGTAAAGGGAAAACTCCTCCATTGCTGGTGGGAATATTAACTTGTATAGCCACTTTGGAAATCAGTATGGTGGTTTCTCAGCAAAATGGAAATGATCTACCTCAAGACCCAGAAATTCCATTTTTAAGCATATATCCAAAGAATGCACACTCAAATCACAAGGACAACTGTTCACCTATGTTCATAACAGCATTATTTATAATTGCTAGAACCTGGAAGCAACCTAGATGCCCCTCAACCGAAGAGTGGATAACAGCTCAATGAACAGAATGGACCCCTTATCTCTATTGCCTTTGGGTTGATATATGGCTGGTAGATGACATCTTACTTGACCAGCAACTTACAGAGAAAGTTTAACAGTCTTTTTTTATTTTTCTGGATGACTTCTGAGTTGTTCAAGACTACTGTGTAGGATCTAACTCAGAAGTCATGTAATTAATAAGGCCTTGAACACCGTGATGCAACATACCTTGGTAAGAGTGATTAGCAGTCCTCTGATGGATGTGACAATGATTATTCCAACCAGAATAAAGGAAATATGTTGAGACCAGAACTTCACCTGACATCAGAACAGGAAGAACAGGTCATTTCATTTCCAGGCCGAGCCAAGAGCTAATGTGAATTCTGATTACTTTTGTGACCATAAGAAGGGATTCCATTAGGTTCCTCCCTGGTTGGTTTTGAAGTAAATACCAGGTGGTAGATACCTTAGAAAGATAGCATTGGATCTCTTAATTAGTAGAGTTAATCAAGTCTTATGGGTCAAAGAAAGCAAGTAAGAGAAATGAGGGAAAAAACACTAATCAGAAAACCCATAGCTGAAGAGATGGTCCCACTGTGAGGAAACCCATAGCTGAAGAGATGTTCTACTGTGAGGAAACCCATAGCTGATGAGATGATGGTCCCACTGTGAGGAAACCCATAGCTGATGAGATGTTCTAGTGTGAGGAAACCCATAGCTGATGAGATGTTCTACTGTGAGGAAACCCATAGCTGATGAGATGTTCTACTGTGAGGAAACCCATAGCTGATGAGATGTTCTACTGTGAGGAAACCCATAGCTGATGAGATGGTCCTGCTGTGAGGAAACCCATAGCTGATGAGATGTTCTACTGTGAGGAAACCCATAGCTGATGAGATGATGGTCCCACTGTGAGGAAAACCATAGCTGATGAGATGTTCTAGTGTGAGGAAACCCATAGCTGATGAGATGTTCTACTGTGAGGAAACCCATAGCTGATGAGATGATGGTCCCACTGTGAGGAAAACCATAGCTGATGAGATGTTCTAGTGTGAGGAAACCCATAGCTGATGAGATGTTCTACTGTGAGGAAACCCATAGCTGATGAGATGTTCTAGTGTGAGGAAACCCATAGCTGATGAAATGTTCTACTGTGAGGAAACCCATAGCTGATGAGATGGTCCTGCTGTGAGGAAACCCATAGCTGATGAGATGTTCTACTGTGAGGAAACCCATAGCTGATGAGATGATGGTCCCACTGTGAGGAAACCCATAGCTGATGAGATGATGGTCCCACTGTGAGGAAACCCATAGCTGATGAGATGATGGTCCTGCTGTGAGGAAACCCATAGCTGATGAGATGATGGTCCTACTGTGAGTAGTGCAGAGGGAAAGGTTAAAAGGAAATGAACTCATTGTTTTCAAGGTTGTGAATGAAGGACTGATGATCACACCCTTACAGGTGTAAAGATCAACGGCATAACAGTGAGACTACACAGGCATTCCTAGTGAATTTCACTTGAATCATACAGCATAACAGTGAGACTCCACAGGCATTCCTAGTGAATTTCACTTGAATCATACAAAGGAGCTTTTTTGCACTGCTTGACAGGGAACCTGTGCTTGCCTGTTCTCAGGTATGTGAGGCTGAGGCCATACCAACATCCAAAAAGCTGGTTATTTATTTAGAAGCGTGAGCATGGAGGAAGTAGATGAATCAGGCTAGAGCAGATGGAATAGAGCAGCCTCAGAGTACTCACTCCTAAAAGTGTAGCCCGGTAAAGAACACATTTGTTTCTGAGACATGATTTCCACTGTGTAGCCCTGCCTAGCCTGGAACTTGCTATGTAGACCAGGCTGGCCTTGAATTTAGAGATTTACCTGCCCCTGCCTCCCTAGTGCCGCCACTCACAGCAAGCCCAGAAAGCCAAGTGATATTTAATTGAGAAATTCACACAGGAATCCCACATGACCTGAAGGAAAAGATGCCTCGATCCGTCACACACTTAAAGACTATGCTGTTGACCCATCATTAAGGATGTATATGTTAGTGGCTGGGAAAATGGCTCAGTGGGTAGGAACACTTGCTGTAAAAGCAACAGGACTTAAATTGAAATGTCAAGCACTCATGTAAAAGCTGGGCATGGCCATCTGTGCCTGAGCAACAGCATTGGCAGCTAGAGCCAGGCAGATCCTGTACAGCTGAAATGAAGGGAGGACTATCCACAGCACCCTCCTCTGCCTCCACAGTGAGGACTGATGAACTTGAAGCCAACCTGTGCCACACAGTGAGGCTCCTAAAAAAAGGGCAAAGTCATCCTTGGCACTGCTTCTTCAGGACAGCAGCTCAAGTGTGCCTGGTCATTTTATCTAGCTGCCTTTGAGACCGGGGACCTGCTATGCTGAGATGCAGGACCAAGGGAAACACATGCCCTCAGCAGCCTCAGAGAAGCTTAATAGTTCACAAAGGACAAAGAAATGTGACACCAGTCTTACTATCAAAGTGTTCATCAGCCTGAATGATGTCATCTAGAAATAAATTATACTATGAGTAAGGACACTGAACTTGGGATAAGGTGTGTTTATGCCTAGTTTTATGAAATAAAGAGAAATGAGTAAAAAAAAAATTCCTCAACTTTGTGCATAGGTCACAATTTAACTTTAGTCCGAGGTCTACCTGGACTGATAAAGACCGTTTCTTACAGTAGAAACCATTTCAGCTCTAGTTCAGAACACTAATTCACTAATCAAAGGTGAGTTGTGAGTCTGAAGAGCTCATTGAGTTTCACAGACAAGATCTGAACACTTGGAGCAGAGAAACTGGCAAAGCGGTAGCTGGCTGTGGGCAGGCCGTGGGCTGGTGAGGGCAGGCTGAGGAGGACCTGTAGCAGCAGGTCACACCCAGGTCACTTAAAGCTAAACCTGGCTGTTTACAAACGTGCCATGTGAGCTGTCAACACACAGAGGACAAATGGACTCAAAGTTCAGGGGTTAAAGCCTGAGTGTTGAGCTCTGGCTGGCCAGAGCAGAAAGAGGGAAACGAGCCAGGATCTAGAACGGCTCTTACATCGAACTGGATCCCCAGGTAATTCACAGTGATCTCAATGCCTCTGGTGACAGGGTCAGTCTTCCCAACTCGATCAAGAACAATATTGATGGTTGCCTGCAGAGACAGAGCTTTACGTTAGAACACCATTCATCACTGTCTCAAAGAGCGACACACAGCTGCAATGGCTCAGGGAACAAAGGCACTTGCTACCAAGCCTGACCACTTAAATTTAATGCCCGGATTTTACATGGTAGAAGAGAACTGACCCCTGTAAGTTGTCCTCTGACCACCACACACGTCCCCTGTCACATGTGCCTGAACACATACACATTCAAAGTAAATAAATGTAATTTAAATTTTTAATAAAAAATGATTCCACATGAATTAATGAGCATATCTTGCAGGTTGATGCTTCCTAAAATACATTTTAACTGTACTGCCAATCAAAATCATGAATAGGAAATCTATTTTGCCTACTCACACATAGGCAAATGAGTCTATCCCACATTTACTTTCTGTAAAGTATCAAGGGTGATAAAGCATGCGTACTCTATGAGTCAGAGATCAGAAAGCTAGCGTCCTGGCAGATGAGTTAGAGTAAGAACCAAGGAACACTGGGTCATTTCCTGTGGTGATTCTGTGACTGCTCTAAGAGCCACAACAACAGGGAAAGACACCCAGTTAATCCCAGTGATGGCAGCTTAACAATGGGAGGGCAAGAAGGGGTGTGACAGACGCCAAGTCAATGCCACATGGGAGCTTTTAATCTAGCCATCACTAACAACACCAAATGTAAGTCAATGCCACACGGGAGCTTTTAATCTAGCCATCAATAACACCACCAAATGTAAGGAGTCTAAGTCATGGGTCAGCAAACTCAGCCTCTGTATTGTGGCAGCAGAGGGCTGGGCTTGGCTCTGTGCCAATAAGACCTTATTTACAAAGGCAAAGCGGAGATGGGCACCTGTGGACCATAGATTGTTAATCTCTGGCTTAAACCACCAGTGAAATGGCAGACTGTCAAACTGAATTAAAAAAAACAAAACCTGATTACTGTATATGTTGTTCATAAGAAACTTTAAACGTGAAGATACAAATAGGTCAAAGTAAAAGGATGGAAAAGGATATTATAGCAGCACTAATCCAATAGAGGCAGGGTGTCTCTGTTAATATCACATAAGGACTTCACAGCAGAAACATTGCCAGGGTGGTGTTACAAGGGTCATTTTATAATCACAAAGGAAACACAATGATTTTAAACGTTTATAGCTGACAAAAAGACCTTCAGAATGTTACAATGAAACCCATTCTTTCATACATTAACTAAAAAGTAAGAATACTGAGAAGTAATACATCTCAAAGTGTCTTGAGAGGAATGAAGATGAGAGGACCAATTGAAGCTCGGCCGATGGACACATAATCACAGCCTCACTGCACCCCGCAGTCTGCAAGTGTCAATCAAAAGACCAAAAGGCAGGGGAGCTGATCGTGATGCTCGCCTGTAATCGCAGCACTTGGAGGCCAGAGGCAGGCGAGTCTCTGAGTTCAGGCCCAGCCTGGTCTACACAGTGAGTTCTAGCTCAGTCAAGGCTACACCACGAGACCCCGTCTCAAAGCGAAATCCAGTAAGTGTGGGTCAAAAAACAAACAACAGCAAACCTTCAAAGTAGGGGAAGCAGGGAGCTGGAGGGAGCTCAGAGGTGAGGAGACCCTGCTGCTCCTGCAGAGAACCCAAGTCTGGACCCTAGCACCTACATCAAGTGCCTTATAAGGCCCCTTAACTCCAGCCATAAAATTCCAGCAGAGGAAAACCCAGACACAAGTGCTTGCCTGCCTGGGAGCATGGGAGCTGGAGGACAGATGCATAATTGCTAGTGAATTGGGATTTCTTTTGGGTTTAATAAAAATGTTCAGTACTTGACTGAAGTAACGGTTCTGGCTTGGTAAAAATGTTCAGACTTGACTATGGTAAAGTTATACAACTCTGAAAACAATAACTACTGGTTCTTATTACTTCTCAGGCCTGATAGCCACAGTTCAATCCCCAGACCCACACTGAGGTGGGACAAGAGAACACTCTCCAAAGCTGCCCTCTGACCTCCACAGGTGCGCCCGGGCATACAACACCCTTAATAATGAAGTTTAAAAGTGAAGCATATGTCTGCCATATTAGTCAGATGCCCTGCCCTAAAGTGTTAGTCCAAAAGAAAAGAGAGCATATGTCTACACATATACTTGTACATGTGTTCATGGCACCACATGTAGCATCCCCAAACTGAAAACAACCAGATATCCACTATAGGTGAATGGATTTGCAAACCGTGGCTCGGCCACACCAGCGGTAACAAGGAACAAATTACAGGTACACACAGTAACATGGACATGCTCCAACAATCCTGCTGAAGACAGAAAACAAACAAACAGAAAAGAAAACAAAACAAGAAAAGCAAGGCAGAAAAAGTAAGCAACTGTCTGGTTACATTTATATAAACATCTAGAAAATATAAGCGAAAACACTGTACAGAAGAAAGACTAGCTGCTACCTCAGGACTGGAGGCATTCTAAAGGGTGCATGGAAATTTTGGCCATGTTGGGTTCTCTCTATCTGAACTGAGTAACAGCTGTGGTACAGATGTGCCCGGTGTCAAACTTACCAAACTGCATGACACGTGTCTTAGCACATGTCAATTACATCTGGACGCAGCTGTTAAACAGGTGATGCGCTCCCTAGAGGTTGCAGCTCAGGAAGGATAGGAGCACAGCACCTCTGCTGGTTCTCTCATGGGAACAAATCATATCTGAAAGCGGCATGTGAGTGCTACTGACATTAGCTCCATTGATTCTAGGCCCCCATGCATGACACTGATCAAATTAGTCAACCAGCTGACAAAGCTAAGCTGCTCTTTGTGCAAACAGCCCCAGCAGGAACTCACCCAACAAGAGCATCAAATCAGCCTTTTCCTACAACCACAGGACACTCATGGACACCACAGCTAAGTCAGAAGCAGACAAGTAAATACACAATGAATACATCACTCAGGGACAGCCACAGGGGCGCGGGCAGAAAACACGTATGGCCCACAGACGCGCATTTGGGGATTTTGGACTGAAGCTTTAGGTGTACCTTATCAAAACTGGCAAGTGGCTTCTATTCTGAGTTGAAAGCTGGGGTTGAGGTTAGACAGTCAGGTGCTCAAGGCATTATGGAAAAGAGTAAAACAGGAAACTTATGTACCCTCTTTCTAAGTCCTCCATAGGAAAGGGGAAAAGAAATGCTTGGTGGTGTGACAGTGATGTTCTCTGCTGACTCGAGATGTGCAGCTGAGCTCACTGTTATCAGTCAAGCCCATCTAATGTCTGCCACTCCTGGAAAAAGTCACCAAATTCTGATCACTAAAAACATGGATGCTGGGGAAACAGTTCATGAGGAAAGCGCTTGTCACTTGTAAGTCTGAGGACCCAAAGTTTGAGCCCCAGACCCCCTGCCTTACCTCAAGCTTGACATGATAGCCTGAACCTGGAACCCTTGCAGTCCTCTGCCAAGACAGGTGGATTCAGAGAACTGCTGGGTGCTCATGGGCCAGCTAGCTGGAGTGCTCGCCTGATAACAAGAGTCTCTGCTCCAACAAAGGGAGAACTGACTCCCAGAGCTATCTTCTGGCCTCCCCATGTGAGCATGCATGCACACATAGACTTTATTGTCACTAATAAACACTAACACACAATACTAGAAATAATGTATAACAAATATCAATAATAAATGAAAAAATCCTATAACATACATACCATAAAAATTTTCCAGACACAATAAATAGAGAAAAAGTAACCCAGGAAATTGAAATACTTCCCCTTGAATGTTTTGGAGTATTCAATTCTTTCCTAAGGAAAACCAAACACAAAACATGGATTTTAGCAAAGGCAAACATTTTCAACAAAAGCATTCCCATGCCTATGACTGACTCACTGTTGAGAGTGAGTCAAAATGACACACATGGTAATAATGTTAAGTGACGCCACTAGGGCAGCCTGTGCTGACTGCCGACCTTCAGAGACAAGACAGTCTATTCCTGTGAACGTCCTGATCTCCACAACTCTCATGAGATATGTTCCAGAACGTTCACTTACAGATGAGACAAGTCTTAGAGGTTAGACAACTTACGCAGGGTCAGGTGGTGAGTGGGCTCAGGCCTATCTCCAAAGCACTGGCAACTCTACCCTTTACAGCCACCCAGGAAGTTGCCTCAGAAAAGATTAGGGTTGTTTGCAGTCTTAAATTTGTGTATTTCCATCATACTGCATTTCAGGTGTGCCTTGAGAAGTTACCAGTAAGACAGGGACCTATCATCCTTGTGATGGGGCTAATTTGTGAGGCAGTGAGAAGATCTAGGGGTGACCATCTTTACCCCGGAGTGGGTCAGCACCCCCCCAAGTCTCCTCTATCCCTCCAATTCTCTTTTGAGAGGGTTCCAGGGATGATTTTGCAGTCACAGGAGGGACTTCCTAAACATAAGCCCTCTTTCCTAAGGCCATTCCGCTTACACAGGTGCAATGCCTGGTCAGGGGGCTCTGACAAGCCAAGGAGATCTTATCCTCTCTTCAACCATGTGGTAAAGCCATAGCTGTCTCCTTGCTCTGTACCTTAGTAGCATACAGATCAGCTGTTTCCAGAAAGAGCTGCCTGCTTAGTTCTTCCAGAGCATCTACTTCCTGTTGAATAAGAGTCAGATCTGGCAGAGAGTGAGCATCAAGGCTTAAATCACAGAGAAATGTCAGAAAACGGCAGGGAAAGGACTTGCTCTAGCTGCTCTACAGGGCAGATGTGGGGAACTGCCTGTCTCTTGAGTTTCCCACCTCTGCCAATAGTGCGTCAGGGTAGTGCTCTGGCTTGACAGAGGTGTGATGGGGCACCCCCACAGTCATCTGGTTTCTCAGACAGATGCTTTCCTGTGCTTGGCTTTTGCTTTTTATCCATGAAGTCAAATTCAACCTCTGAGACCTATGACACAGCAGTTCCATGCCAGCTGAGTAATGCTGTGTGGGGAATGCGCAGCACAGTGGCCACCGAGTCACCAGACTGGTCTTTGGTCACTGCCTTCTTTAGTTCTTCCAGACGGAGTCTTCTATTCTCCCACATCCCCACGAGACAGCTGTTCCATTTCTCAGACAAGGAAAGGGGCTCCGAGAGGTAAGTAACTAGGTCCCCTCAATCATCTAGGCGTGGACCACCTCATCAGCCTCCAAGCTAGCGGGCCAGGAACAATCTATTAACGCAGCCACCTGGCATTTTAACTACAACTTGGTTAGAAACGGGCCCCTGCCACCACGTGCGTGAACCATCCACTGCCGCAGGGAGCCACTGTGCTCTCAGCGATGGGAGTCAGCACAGCAGAGAGGAGCAAGTTATGAAGCTGAGGCCACAGCTCTGCTCCCACAGTCGCCACAAACCACCGTGTGACTTCACCTGTCTGGGTTTAGTTCTCAGCTGTAAAGTGGAAAGAGCGACCTTACAGGTTCCCTGCAGCTCAGAGACAATGCTTTGTGGTTAGCTACAAGTGCAAGGCAGAGGATGCACCCACTGTACTTCCTATCCAGTGCTGGCCAGTCTGGGTTCTGCTGCAGTCACGCACCCTGGCGGGCACTGACCCAGCACGATGGATTTTTTCTGCCCCTGGTCCAGCGTGGAGAAGAGTCCAAAGGGATAAAGGATACTTTCACTTCCTGGGGCGGATGCAGTCACGCTCTTCAGCATGCCCCAGAGTCCTGACGGCCTGTTCTGCACGTCCCCCCTCTGGAACATGGTTCTGCGTGCCACGGCCATCCTGAAATAAAGAAAACAGAAGTCTGAGAATGAGGTGTACCCGGGCCTCGGTCTCCTTCACCTTCCCACGGCCGTGCTGTGTCTCTACTGGTTCAGGAGTTATGAGGGAGAGGACGCTCCTAGAGCCACGTGGTCTGGTCTGGGGCACAGACTGTGGAGCCGGCAATAAACTTGAGACCTACAGCTTCCTTCCTCACGCTGGGTGGCCGTGAAGATTAATAAAGTCACAGTCAACCTCATCTTTGCCACATGGAACAAAGTAGCTGACAAATCCAGATAAAGACCAGGCACAAAGAAGGAACGCAGGAAAAGGAAGATGACGTAAACAGAGCCTCCTAGCTCGCTGAGGCCCTTTTGCCCATGACTGCTGGATAAACTGATACAGTGGCACCACTCCTTCCATCCTCCCTGTCTGTGGAGGACTCGGGGCACCATGGCGGCTGCTGGCAAGTTCCAATCTATCCAGCGCTATTAGGAACAAGGTCCGTGTGAGCTTAGGAAACACAAGTGAGTGTTTGAAGCGTACAGTGGGCCTAAAATCAACCAGGGTGAACCTAGTACAGACAGAAGAGCCCACTACAGAGAAATTCAAGGTGGACACTTCTGGGTGGCAAGGGACAGAAAGGCTACGACGAAGCAGCAGCAGGTTTCACGTCTGGAACTCCTACAAATGGCGCCAGGGGACCATGCGCCAAGCAGCATTTCTGTGGGCTAAATTTTGAAAGCACCAGTTAGAAGGACATGCACAAGGATGGCTACAGAAACAGTTTCCTCCTCACGAGCTCTGCCTGGACCCTGGAAGAATGAAAGAGCCCACGCCTGAGCTTCCTGACTCTCCTGGCATAGTCCCCACAACGCGGCATGTTGGGAAGACAAGAAGGAAGCAGGAAAAGGCTCGGGTGCGTGATGCAGTCAGTTTTCAGGGGGAACACGGGACAAGCGTGTGATGAGGCTCCGTGCTACGCAGTTCATAGTTCTTGGGCTCAACGCCTGGGGTTACGGCAAGGCAGCTGACAGAGGGAGCAGAGAAACCATTTCTGTTGTCCCTGTCAACATCTAAAGGCTCTGGTGTGGCACTGGCTGCCTGTGTGAGGGGAGAGATGCTGTCTGAGGTGTCGATGGGAACTGAGCAAGGGTTCTATGCAGTCACAGGGTGTGCTCTTAATTGCTGAGCCACCTCTCTAGTCCACTGTCACCAAGTCTTTATTGAGTCATCCTAACTGTACGGTAGCCTTACTGTGGATTTAACTGCATGTCCATAGTACCTACTACTATGTCACTACCACCATGCTGAGTGTCTTTCCACGAGCCCAATGCCATCCCCATGTTTGTTGTGCACATTATACTGATTATACTGTTGTTTTTAATGTGACTTCAAGGCCTTTCCTTTCTAAAGTCTTTTCCCAGATGCTTTTTCCCTGCTTGTAGTGTCTTTCCTTCTTTACATAGTATCCTGCAAAGCAAGTTTTCAATTTTGGTGGAGTCCAGTTTATTTACATTTTGTTGTATAGACTGCATTTTTGGGGTTAAGTGTTAGATTTTTTTTTCCTAGCTCTAAATCTGAGATTTTTTTCTTCTAAAAGTTTGGTAGTTTTATACTTTACATCTAAGTTAAAGGTCTGTTTTGAATCCATTTTTTTCTACATATTGTGAAGCTTAGATTTGGATTTTTTCAGGGAAGGAAAAGGTCTATGGATTTATTGTTTCAGATTCATTTGGTAAAATACCTGTCTCCCTGAACTTCCTTTGGATCTGCATTTTTGTAGTAACTCCCTTTTCTTTCACTAGTTAATATCACTTCATGCCTTCCTTCATTCCTTTGAATGTTCCTATGCTAACTGTTCAAGTCTTGCTAAATTTTTATCATCTGGACCCATCTGGAGTTAGTTTCCATTGCTATTTGCATGCGGAAATGCTCACGGTCTTATTTCTTCACAGCTGAGTTAGTGGGTGGAAACCTGCTCTGTTAGATATGTGTGGCTGTGGGATCGTTTCCCCGGGTATTGTACAGTGTATCGGCAGCTAGCTAGCTCATCTGGGTTCCAGCTGAAGTCCATGGCGCCTGCTAAGAACATCAGATTTTAGCCACACTTGAGAACTCTCTGTGGTTCTTCTCCTTACCGTCTTTCCTAAACTTCTGATCGCCAACCCTGAGCTCTGCCTTCTCATACCTCAGGCCAGGAAGTTTTCCCTTCCTGTCATCTTAGTGTGTGCCAGCCTGCACAGGCCTCAGGCAGCCATTCAGGCAAAGAAAACTTGCAATTCTAAGAAGCGTGCGGCTACCGGTGCTAAGCTTCTTGGGTTCTTTGGTGCTTCCTGAGTTCATGACTGTTGAGTAGCGAGGCAGGATCTGGGTGGAACTGACATTTGAGTTGTGGAGCCTGGCCTCTAGCATCCCTGGTTGCAATGCTTCCCTTTTTTTTCCAGGTACTTTGCTAACCTGAACTCCGTGGAGGGCACTTAGACAATAAAGCCAGCAGCGTCTAGCAGTCACTTGAGGCTCTTCTCAAATCCCCTGCTTCTGTTCATTTACCAGTGACTTCAAGTACTCATTTTTAAGATTCTCTGCTGAAGCACTTGCTTGACTCACACTGCCAGCCCTGGAAGCTTCCTCTGCGACTGATTTAAAACATTGAGGGCTGGTGCTTAAGGTTCCCTCGGATGCATTTTGTCCCCATCTGAGTCAGTTTAAGAAAGGCAGCCTAGCAGCATCTGACTCCAAGCAGAGGTTAGGACTTTTCCTCTCTCGTCCCACCTGTACTCCACCCCCCCCCCCCCCGCCGTCTCCCCACAACAGACACTGGTCTTGCGGGCCACTGTGCTCTGTTCCTCCATCTAAAGTGGGCTCTGGTCACCACTCCTCCCCAGCTGTCAGCTGTCTGGATGTGCCTTAGCTCCAGTGGGGGGCGCTGTGCTGATCGAGTCCAGCTGGGAGGCTGAGGCCTCTGAGCGCCCATCTACTTACGTGAATCTTACAGGACCCCAAACCACTCTTGATCCCCAGCAGACAAGGGTTTATAGAAGAACTGGCGATGTGCCTGAGTCAGAGCCAGTCCTAAGCACAGCTAGTAGAAGATGGGAGAGACGGCCCATCTGCAGCTGCCTTAGGTCCCATTCTACCTTATATCAGTTGTGTCTTTTCATTATCAGAGTATCACGAAAGGGAGGATAACCTTGGGGACCAAAATAATTCATACATATTCACTACCGAATAGATTTTTATTTTTTTACTTCTATACATTTATATGTGAAATGTAAGTAACACATATGTAAGTAAAATAAATGTATAGCTACACCTCTACCTTTCAAACTTCAGTAAAGACACATACAAATAGAGACAAACATTACTCAGTAAATTGGAGCCTTCCTTGTCATTCTTATGTCTATGGCTGTCTCTTCCATTAAGGTTTCTTTGATTTGACTATGGATCAAAGTATAGAAATGTGGTGAAGGAAGGAATGTGAAATACAAAACTACTTGTCAATTCAAACTCACTACTGATCATATGTGGACAAAACTTTAATAAAGACAGCAGACTAATCAGCTTCTTGAACATGTGGTATAGTGTCTAGCAGACTGTTTCCTAAAGAAAAAATAAATGAGTTTATGGAAACAATTAGCTCAATACCTTTGCTAGGTATGACCCACTCTTCTTAGAGGTGCACGAGTCTTAAGGCAGCACCATGTCCTTTCTGGGATGGGTGCGTGCGTGCGTGCGTGCGTGTGTGTGTGTGTGTGTGAGTGCGTGTGAGAGTGTGTGTGAGTGTATGTGTGCACGCATGCGTGTGTGTATGTGAGTGTGTATATGCGTGCACGCGTGCGTGTGAGTATGTGAGTGTTCTGTCATGTAGTCCATGCTCACTTAATGCACACTTTGTACCCTTTGCAGGCTCTGAACTCCTGATCCTCTTGCCTCTGCCTCACAAGTGCTGGGATTACAGGCATGTGCCAAACACATTTTTTACATATGAGGAAACAAAGGCACAAAGTGCAGTGCGTAGTTCAAGGTCACAGTATAAGGTATGACAAAAGATTCAAATACAGATAGCTGATTTCAGAGAGCTTTGCAGGCCCACTGTGTCACAGAGCTTTATAAATATGCCATTTGGGAAACACGTATGTAAGTATTTTTTTGGGTAATTTTTACATGACTTTTTAGTGACTTTTTTCCTCTTCAGACTGACTCTATTGTAGAAGGAAAGGTCTCAGAGCTTCTGTAATTCAGAAGACACAAGACTCCAAGAAGATCCCCCTGCAATTCAGAGATGTGCTGAGCAATGCTGGAGGAAGGGTGTGTGTGTGTGTGTGTGTGTGTGTGTGTGTGTGTGTGTGTGTGTGTGTGTGCGTGTGTGTGTGTGTGTGTGTGTGTATGTGTGTGCCTTATGCCCCTGTGAGTAATCTCAGTAAACTCCCAGGCTAGAAGATTTAAAAGGAGCCTTAGGTAGTTGGAGAAAAATAAGTAAAAAAGATGCAAGTCAAGCAAGGAAAGGTTTGTAAAGCTGTAGGACAACAGCCTTAAAGAACCCATCCTTGTCCTCTGCACAGTGACATTAAAGAAATGTGTGAAAAAAACAAATGAAATCAACAAAAAAAAATCTCCAAATATCAGACATTATTCTAACATTTGATCTAAAGGGAAATGTAATTCGGAAAGTAGAACTTGAGACTTTTCTTCATCTGAGGTGAGACTGAGTCTTTGGCGGTACATTAGCCTATAATGAAAGGAGTAAGAAGCCCCCCCCTTTCAGTGATCACCGTGTGCTGGCCTCACCTTTTCTTTTTGCTTATGATCATGTCCATGGTCTGCAACAGTCGCCGTTCCAGCGCAAGGATATCCGTATCAGTCACGTTCCTGCAATGAGCTAAACTTAGCAATGTTTTGGGGTCCCACCCAGGGGCATCATGCCAACCATCTGGCAAAACATAAACCACAATTGTTACTCAACATTTCAAGGACCTGTTTTTCTAAAAAATATTAAAATGACTCCATTAGGCTAAAATGCTTATACTATAGCTTTTTTTTTTGTTTTTTGTTTTATGAGACAGGGTTTCTCTGTATTGTTTTGGAGGCTGTCGGACCAGCCTGGCCTCGAACTCACAGAGATCCACCTGCCTCTGCCTCCCGAGTGCTGGGATTAAAGGCGTGTGCCACCACCACCCAGCTAATATAGCTTCTTATAGTTAGTTTTTCTGTTGTCCAGGGCAGTAGAGGGTACACCGAGCCCTCAAAGTCTTTCTTAGCTTTGACCCAGACACATTTAAAATGTGTTTAGTGGCTAGAAAGATGGTCTGGGATTAAGAGTACTCGCCAGACAGTGGTGGTGTATGCCTTTAATCCCAGCACTCGGGAGGCAGAGGCAAACGGATCTCTGTGAATTTGAGGTCAGCCTGGTCTACAGAGTGTGTTCCAGGACAGTCAGGGCTATAGAGAAAAAAAAAACCTGTCTTAAAAAAAATAATAACAACAACAAAACCTGAAAAACAAACAAACAACCTGAGGGTCAAAAAAATAAAATAAAATAAAAAGAGTACTGGCCACTACTACAGAGGACCTGGGTTCCTATCACCTATATGGTGGCTCAAATGTCTGTAACTTCAGTTCCAAAACAGCAACTGAGGCTCTTTGTGGGCACAAGGCATACAAATAACACATACACTCCAGAAGTACATGCAATGCACATACATACACACAGTTATACCAAGAGTACATACAATGCACATACTTATACACAGGCACTCAGACACATACATTTTTTAAAAATTGGCAATATCTTCTACCTTTTGATATTAAGGAAGAACCAATTAACTGAAGTTGGGAGAAGTTCACACTGCTGTCCACTGGAAGTGTGCATTTAAATAGCATGGGGATAGACCTATAAAATTTGCCACTTAGAGGAGCCAGACATGGTGGCACACGCCTGTAATCCAGGTGTCCAAGGGGTTGAGGTCAGAGAATATAACTTAAGGCTAACATGGGCTGAGTTGCCGTTTCAAAAGAAATGAGAAAAGAAAATGACTTGTTAGAAAGGCTTCCAATAAACACCCATGGACACAGGAAGAGAAGAATAAAGAAACAGTCCCAGATCTAATATGTGAATATTAAAGATGTGGCATGACATACATATTCCAGTAACAGTGAAAAATAAAAGAAACGAAGTATGCATTACCTAAGGAAGTAGGACATGTAAGTGTACGGGCAGTTGACAGCACCAAATCCGGACAGCAGAGCCATGAGCGTCACCCCGATTACACCCACTCGGCTGATGAGCTGTTCTATAGACAAGATCCCTAGAAACATAAAATACATCAAGGTCAGGCAATACAAGAGCGGCTCACCCTACACCACGAAAGCCAACATTACTTAAATACCAACCAGTAGCTGCAGCTTATACAGTCTCGTACAGCTTGAGCTTTAGATTTATCATGTGTGTGAGTATTCTGTCTGTGTATAAACCTGGTGCCTGCGGGGTCAGAATAGCATTGGAGTTACGGATGGTTGTGAGTCACCACATGGGTGCTGGGAACTGAACCCAGGTCCTCCGCAGGAGCAGCAAGCACTTCTAACCACTGAGTCAGCTCAGTGGTTAGTTATTAATGACAGATTGCTGAACTTTGCCTTTGCTTATTATTTGGAATGCTGCAACAGATATTGCTATTTATTTTTAAATATATTTAAACTACATATGTTTCCATTAAAATTGTTTTTTATTACTTTATTAATTTGCTTGTTTGCATGCACTCTCACCACACATGTGCCTTGGTATGTGCAAACCCACCCACATGTGTCAAGAAAAATTAAAAAAGGTAGAGCCTATCAGGAAGGCATGCTCTTGAAGAGAACAGTGACGCCCAGGCACCCCTCTCCCTTTTCTGTGTTTCTTGGCTGTCCTGAAGGGTGCTTCCTGTGCCACGAGCTCTCACTATAATGCACTTTCTTGCAACAGACCCAAAAGCAGCACAACAACTGACCACTGATTGAAACCTCTAATACTGTGAGGCAAAATAAATCTTTGTGCTTTTTAAGCTGATTAACTCTTGTTATTGCAACAGAAAGTTGACTGGTATCCATGTATGCCCTATAATTCCTATGTAACCAAAATAGCATTTGATGCCCTTAGAAAGAAGGAAAAATTTTATTTTGAAGTCAGATCTTTCGAGAGAAATAACTTGCTGTATTTCCCACATTCAAAGTTTAAACCGCTGGTTTTTAAATCAGAAAACGAAACAACCCCTCTTCTCCCTCTGGCTCTACTCACCATGCTTTGGGCTGAGGATGGGAAATGGATCCCCCAGTTTCCAGAAGAAGTACATAAAGGTCAGCCATAGGAGACAGGAAAAGAGCAGGCGCTGCTTGTGCACTGAGATGGGACACAGGACTGTTAGGAAGGGCAGCTACTAAACAGCTTATTGCAAATATGAGTTATGCAATTAATATGCAAATGATGGAACTACACAATTCTTTGCAAAAGCATTCTTACCACAAGAAGATTTGCAAAACGACTCTTAGAAAATCTTTTTTGTGTGTAATTAGAACATTTTATATTTTAGTTAAGAATTTCTCTTACTCAGTTTTTAAAAATATTGTTTTCCTTATTCTTTGAAAATGTTCATATTTTTGATCATATTTTTTTCCTCCTGTAACTCCCTCCCATCATTAGAAAAATGTTCCTAAAATTATAACATGGACGGAGTTCATGGAGACATTATAGCAGAAGCAGAAATACAGCTGTGGCAGGAGACACGATCCACTATTTCAGACAGAATTCATTTTATGTCTGCTTTAAGATGCGGTCATGTCCCCAGACACCAGTATAAAAACACAAAAATTAAGCTGTCTGTAATCCACTCCCAGTAGCATGCATCCCAATCTACACACTGATGTAAGAAGGGAAAATACTCACACAGTTGGATGTTACTCACGATAAAATAACCAATGTAGAAAGGTACCATGAAGACCAGGATGAGCAGAATTACACACAGGTTCATTTTCCAGTGAAAATACCGGGAGCTGAAATCAACAGCAAAGACATTTGGCGGGAGGGCAGGCAAGTCTCACTCTGCTAGTACTCCAAAGGACCCTGCTCTTGGACACCAAGCTGAATAGGTCCTGTCTACTCGGCCACTAGGCTGTTAGCTGGGCACCTGTACTTCCAGCTCTTGGGAGGCAGATTCAGGAGAATCTTTGTGAGTCTGAGGCCAGCCTGGTCTCACATAGTGAGCTCCAGGACAGCCTGGGCTACAGAGATACCCTGTCTTAAAACTCTCTCTGCTCTCCTCTCTCTTCCTCTCTCTGTCTGTCTCTCTCCCCTTTGGTGGCTTATGCTTATAATCTGAGCATTTGGGAAGAGGAGCTAGGACTGTGAATTCAAGGCCAGCTTAGGTGACATTACCGAAACCTTGTCTTGTGAAACAAAAAGCAAAACCAATGAAACAAAAACTATATAAATTTATGAATAGTACATGACCTGAGATTTCCATTCTAAAAAGAATGTTAATGCTTCTGCCACACTCCTAGGCAATATGGACAAAACACACATTCTAAATGTAACAATAATGATAATTACAATAAAAATAACAATAATAGATGTGAAATATTTTTGACTATGTAAAGATGTGTTACATTTGTTTATGCTGTGAATTATTCTGTGTAAATGTGCTACTTTTGTTTATGCTGCATTTGTTTAATTATGTAAAGATGTTTAAACTGAATGGCCAATAGCTAGGCAGGAGGAAGGGTAGGTGGGGTTGTCCAGCAGAGAGAATAGGAGGAGGACAGAGAGAATGGGGGGAGGGGAGAGAGACATGCTTGGGGCAAGAAACCAGGCAACCACCAGCCAGCCAGACAAAAGACGCAGTGAAAGTAAGACATACAGAAGGAAAGAAAAGTAAAAAGCCTGGAGGCAAAAGGTAGATTAAAAAACAAACACAAACACAAACAGGTTAATTCAAATTAAAAGATCTAGCCAGAGATGCATCTAAGCTAGGCCAAGCATTCACAACTAATAAGTCTCTGAGTCACGATTTGGGAGCTGGTTGGTGGCCCAAAAGAAAAAGCCTGGTACAAATAGAATGAAAGGAAAGCTTAATCCTACGCATCTATAGTTTCAGGACTTGGAATAGAGGCAACACCATCAGAAGGCCAGCCTAAATGTGAGGGCTATCCCAGGCTACATGACACCCGTCTTAAAACCAAACCAAAACAGGGCTGGTGGGATGGCTCAGTGGGTAAGGTACTTGCTGGCAAGCCTGATGACATGAGTTAGACTCCTGGGGCCACATCCTGGAAGAATATTAACTCCTGGAAGTTGTCCTTTAATTCCCACACATACGCAGGGATCTGTATGTGCCTCCCATAAATAAATGTAATACAAATTTAAATAAAAAGAATGAAAGGAAAATAAATGTTAACAGCAATTCTGAGCAATAAAGACTCAGAAATTCGTTTATAGTGTGATCTAAACATTGACATGTACAACTTTCATTAATATTTATAAAATATATTTTATCTATTAAAGTTTTTATGCAGGGCATAGTGGCATACATCTTTAATCCCAGTACTCAAGAGGCAGAGGCAGAGGCAGGTAGATCTTTATGAGTTTGAGGTCATCTTAGTCTATATAATAAGTCCCAAGCTAGCCAGGGATATATAGTGAGACCCTCTCTCAAAACAAGTAAGTAAAAAGAAAATAAATTTAAAATGTAGTACTTTTGTTTTTTTTACAACAGCTTTTTAAAGAAATAATTTACCCACTTGAAGTGTATACTCCAATGATCTTTAGTATATTCACAGATCTTTGTAGCCATGACTTTAACTATTTTATTTAACCCTATCATATGTGGTCTGTTTTTGTGATTAGCTGTTTTCATTTAGCATGGGGTTTTGCAAGGTTCATCCACATTATAGCATCCATTAATAGTTCATATTTTTAATGGTTGAGTAAAATTTGCCCCATTATTTATCAATTCAACAGCCAATATATACTTGGGCGTTTTAACTTTATTATAGTGATGCTATGAACTTTTATGTCAGGTGTAACATGGCCATGCTTTTATTTCTCTTCACACAGGGATGGAATGCAATGCAGGGCCACAATCTGTATTTAATCCTTGGAGGCATGACCACTGTATCATTGCACATGGTCCCCAGCAGTACATGAAGGGTCCAGGTTTCTTTGGCTATAATACCACTTGCTGCTGTATGTCTTCAACTATCTTGGTGGAAGTACTCTGGCACTGTGGATTTTTTTTTAAATTTTTCTTTTTTTTAAATTTTTTTTTTTGGTTTTTAGGAGACAGGGTTTTTCTGTATTGTTTTGGAGGCTGTCGGTCCAGCCTGGCCTCGAACTCACAGAGTTCTGCCTGCCTCTGCCTCCCGAATGCTGGGATTAAAGGCGTGTGCCACCACCGCCCGGCGGCACTGTGGTTTTGACTGGTATTTCTTTGGTGTTTGATGATACTGACCATCTTTTAAGGTGCTTATTGGCCACCTGGTTATCATCTTTAGACAAATGCCTATTCAGACCTCTTGTCTGCTTTTTATACTCTGTTCTCCACTTTCCCTTTTGTGGTACTGGGGATTGAACTTAGGGGCCTCATGCATACTAGGTGACTACTCTACAATGGAACTATATTTTCTGACTATTGTACACTTTTTAACTGTGCTACTTTTACTACTGAATTATAAGAGCTCTTTATATATCCCAGAAAGAAATTCCTTATTAATCGGTGGTTTGAAATCATTTTCTCCTGTTCTTGGGATGGCTATTCATATTCTTTTTTTTTTTTTTTTTTTAAGACAGCGTTTCTCTGTGTTGTTTTGGAGGCTGTCCTGGAACTCGCTCTGTAGACCAGGGTGGTCTCGAACTCACAGAGATCCTCCTGCCTCTACCTCCCGAGTGCTGGGATTAAAGGCGTGCGCCACCAACGCCCAGCAGGATGGCTATTCATTTTCAATAGCGTCCTTTCAAATTATTGAGTTTAAACTCAGGCCTTGTTGCACAAAAATGGGTAAGTGGTTGGGTGACTTCTAAGAAGTGGAAAATACAGGACAAGTAAATAAACTAGGGAGTAGGGAGAAGAGAGTGGCGATGGCAAAAGGCAGGTAAACTGGACTAGTCCCGATGCTGCTATGAAATAAGTTCTGCAAACTTGCTATGGGTTGGACACAAATTTAGCTTTAACTTGTCTAATATTAGTTTATGTGAAATAGATGATTTTATCAGACAGATAAATCATAGTGTGTAACATGTACTCTTCCTGCCAGCGGCCTGGGTCCAGCCATTGTCTCAGCCCCCAAATAACACACGAGACACTGTATTAATTATGAAACTGTTGGCCGTTTGCTATGGTTTCTAATTGGCTAACTCTGATTTAATTATTAACCCATAATTACTAATATATGTTTTTATAAGGACTTATCTTTCTGAGAATGCCAGACTTGTGTTCTTTCCTCCAGGGATCATATGGCTACGACTCTCTTCACTACTTTTCCCAGAATCCTCTTGGACTCCTAGTCCCACCTATCTTGCTTCCCTATTGCCCAACAGTGCTTTATTTACATATACACAGAAGGACTTCCCCCATCAATAGTAATAAAACGAACTAGTCACAATTACTACTGATTTATTGCCCAGATAATGAGATTTCCTCAAAGATTTCATAGGATTTAATTTAACAATGCCCTGAATGCTACCCTTCCCAAAGAAACTTCTATGGATTATGGAGGGCTGTCCTTACTGTTTTCCCTTATTATAGGATCAAAGAACCTGTGAGCCTACAGGAGTAAAGTCACTGAGTGTAGATGTATTTGTCTGTACTGACAGCTCTTTGCTCTCTGAAGCAACCCAGTTAGATAGAATACCTAGAGAGGCAAAGGAACTACATGTCCTGTAGGCAATCTACATGGTACTTCAGGTGGCTTCAGGAACATGGTAGGAGGCAGGAGATTTGAAATCCAAGTGTTACTTGTACTGCCAATTAAAAGTCAATTGTTGGGGAAGTCCTGTGCATATGTCAATAAAGCACTGTTGGCCAATAGGGAACCAAGATAGGTGGGACTAGGAGTCCAGGAGAACTTTGGGAAGGAGAAACACAGGGAGTCAAGATGTAACGCCATGGGGTAGGAAGCCCGGAAACTTCTCCGGTAAGAGACATACTTAGATTAACAATTATGGGGTAATTACTTAAGTCAGAGCTAGCCAGTAAGAAACAAGCAAGGCCAACAGCTTCATAATTAATATAGCCTCCTGTGTGTTTATTTGGGACTGATGCAGCTCTGGAACCAGGCTGGCAGGAAGGCTTCCCTTTACAGTCAATCACAGGGCAGGAGAGCGGCTCAGTGGTGAAGAGTGCTTACTGCTCTTGCAGAGGACCTGAATGCAGTTTCTAGCACCCACCGGGTGGGCTCACCATATCTGTAACTCTAGCGCCAGAGGATCTGATGCTCCCTTCTGGCTAATTTGGGTACCAGGCATACACATGATACACTTAACACGCATAAGAAAAGCCAATCACATGTTTTAGCTGGTCTTTTGAGAAGAAAATAAAATGTTGTTCTCTTGGAAAAAAAAAAGGAACCAAACAATACCTGCATTTGAATAGGATGCCATACACCCTCTACTTAGAGGTAAGTCAAAGACTATGAGATATTCAGAGGCAAAATTCTCTTCTGAAAGCTATTCTGAATCCATTGAATGCAAGATAGACTGTCCCAGCTGGGCCAAATGCTGGTGTGAAGAAACAGGTATATGTACAGACATGTTTCAGCCTAAACAAACCCACTCTGAAAAATAAACTCAAAGCAGAAACAGACTTCAGCAGGGCTCATTCCTGCACTCTGAACTAAGAAATGTGGGAAATGTGCACAAAGTAAGACTTTCTAAGCGTGCAGGATTAATTATGAGTTACAAGTTTAGGACACAGTGCACTACAGACAGCAGGAATGTCTTTCCACTACTACTGTTCACTCTACAGTCCACAAACCAGGACCCTGCACCTAGCAATGCTCACAAAGATGTTCTGTTGTGGCAGGACTGTATCTGTTTATGTACCGCCTATGGCTGCTTCTGCTTTACAATGGCAGATTGAATGTTATGGGAGACACCCTACGGCTTACAAAGTCTGGAATATTTACTACCTGGTCCTTCGTAGAAAAGTTTGCTAAATTCTACTCAGAGAGTAGTAAAACATCCATGTTGTGACATTGCAATTTAGCAAATAGCATAAATACTACTTGTCCATTCTCCATAGCTCATCCGGACAAGGTCTGGGCTATTAAAGAGCAAGTCTGGAAGTAGGGAGTCAGGGCTCTACCACGAGTTACTTTATCATAAAGTTCACCTGACCATATGTAAAGTTAACCAAGTGGTTAAGACAGAAGAAGAACTGGAGAACAGTCTTCCTTGAAGTCCTTAAATAGTGAGGAATTTTGATCTTTTCAAGTATCCGTCAAGTTGGGAGGTACGACTAGCGTCTAGTTAGAGTCTGGAGACAGAGCTGCTAGGAGTGAGACCTGGGACCAAGGTTCTTGTAGCCTCCCACTCAGTGGGCACTGGAGACTTCTTCTTGTAGCCTCCCGCTCAGTGGGCTAAGGATCAGGGCACTGGAGACTTCTTCTTCTTTTTTTTTTTTTTTTTTTTTTTTTTTGGTTTTTCGAGACAGGGTTTCTCTGTATTGTTTTGGAGGCTATCGTTCCAGCCCAGCCTCGAACTCACAGACATCTGCCTGCCTCTGCCTCCCCAGTGCTGGGATTAAAGACGTGCGCCACCACCGCCCGGCTCACTGGAGACTTCTTTGCCGAATCTGTTACTAGGTGGCCATACTTTTGGTGATCTGTGGTGATACTTTGTTTATGATCTAACAAATAAAGCTTGCCTGAAAATCAGAGTGCAAAGCTAGCCACACTAGTTAGCCATAGAGGTCAGGCAGTGATACGAAGCTTTAATCCCAGCACTCAGGAGACAGAGGCAAACAGATCTGTTAATTCAAGGCCATCCTGAGCTACACTAAACTGATCCAGTCTAAAAGAGAAAAAGAGCTCACACAAGGTGATCTTAGCATTTGGGATCCAATGCCTTTAATCCCAGCACTAGAGAGGAATATAAGGTGGGAGGAGACAGGAGCTCAGTGCAGTCTGATGTTTGGAGACAGATACAGTCTAGAGATGCAGTCTGAGGACGGGATCACCCCTTTGGTCCGAGGTGAGGTAAGAGCTAGTGGCTGCTGCTTTACTTCTCTGATCTTTCAGGTGTGTGTGTGTGTGTGTGTGTGTGTGTGTGTGTGTGTGTGTCTCCCCACGCTAATACCTGACTCTGGATTTTTATTATTAAGAACAATTAGAACTCATGCTACAGTGATCACTGCAGCTCCTGAGACTAACCTACAGCTACATGGTAGATATTTTCCACCATGAGATCCAAGTGACCAATCTACTGTAAATAAAAGGCAACATACTTCCGGGGAAAGGATGTAGGATTGGCACTTACCTGCTGTTCAGAACTCCCAAGATTTCAAAGATGATAAGCTCAAACATGGTGCACGAAAATGCAAAAGTCACGGAAAAGATGACTTGCACAACATACTGGCGCACCTGTTAAAGGCCAGATGAGGAAGACAGTCATTTCCTTGTCTGAAATCTGAACTGATAACTTTCCAATCACAAGTCTGCACACCTGTGGAGAATTCGCAGGTCTTTCAAGCAGAAACCTGGGTTAAATGATCCAAGTGGGCAGCACTTTGAACCATGGCTGCTTCCTACTAGAATCTCCTTGTGGTGGGGAATTTAATGCACAAGAGGATGAAATGACTGAGCCACAGCAGTAGTCAGATTCTTGATGTCAGTGACAAAAAGGAAAAGACTGCATGCACATCTAATGGTAAAAGGAGTTCTTAGATGCTGCAGAGCTCACAGCAGCTCTGGAACTTTCCTAAGAGGCCTTATAAGATACAGATTCTTTAGAATCTGGGCTCTTCCAGACAGTTTCCAAAACTCCCGAGGAGGCTTAATATTATTGAACATCTTAGAAATGGTCCCAAAGTATTCAGATAACTAAGCAGTGAAAATTATATTAGAAAATGGCCAGCATGATACTGTCCTTTTTTGAATCCAAGGCTTAAAATAAGAACCAGAGTAGCTTTGGAATTTAATTTAAACCTGAGGGCTGGCAATTGTAGACTAAAAAGGAACTTTCCAGGCATTAGAAATTAAATATCCTCCTGAAAATATGCATCTGCTTTTGGTGTATATGGCTCCAACATGACTCAGGAATGACCTTCCTTGTGCTTTGTTGTTTATTTTTTTCTTTTAAATCACCTAAACCAGTAGGGCCTGGTGGTACAAGCCTGTAATCCTACTACTTGGGATTTTGAAGCAGGAGGATTGCTATGAGTTACTGGTCAGCCTGAGCTATATAGGGAATCCTAGGGCAGCCGAGTTATGTAGCAAGATTCTGTCTCAAAAAAAAAAATCTGTGATAAGTTAGTACGTAGATAGATTAGATAACATGTAGTTTCATAACTGCACATTCTTGATTGGCACAGGTTTTCTATTTGAGGAAGTGAACACAATCTTTTTTGCTTTGTTTTAAAGACAGGGTTTCTCTGTGTTGTCTTGGCTAGCCTCAAACTCAGAGATGCACCTGCCTCTACCTCCCAAGTGCTGGGATTAAAGGCGTGCACTACCACTGCCCTGTAATCTTTTTTTAATTGTTACCATTTTTCTAGTTCCATTCTAAATAACCTAAAGCATAAAATGGTTTCTTCTTCGTCTTCTTCTTTTTCTTTTCTTTTTGGTTTTTCAAGACAGGATTTCTCTGTGGCTTTGGAGGCTGTCCTGGAACTAGCTCTTGTAGACCAGGCTGGTCTCGAACTCACAGAGATCCGCCTGCCTCAGCCTCGAGAGTGCTGGGATTAAAGGCGTGAGCCACCACCTCCCGGCTATAAAATGGTTTCTTCTTACCTCATAGTCCTTAAACAACTGGCGCATGAAGAAAAGCCACCCAAATCCAAAAAACAGTATCTAGGGGAGAAGAAAGACAAAATGTCAAAATACATTTTCTTTCGACAAATGCCTCATAGAAATTATTTTAAAATAAAATGTCTGCTTACTAGACAGTTATGTTTAGAGATTAAAAATGAGATCCACTTATAACATTGGAAAAAACACTCGGATGCTCTTAGAATGCTTAAATTATTCATTGTATAGAATGAGTTTTAAGGTAGACAAAAAAGGAAATACATGGATTTTTTTCCCATAATGCTATAAACCAGTTTATAAACTAGAGAAGTCAGTAAACAAACAAGGGCTTACTCAGTGTCAGTCTGGTGCCATGGGCCATTTACTAACCAAGAAGAATGTCAAGCTTTACAGAAGCAAAGCTGTTTATTCCCCAGAAAAAAGAATGCCGGTGCATTATGCTTCTTACGGCTCTCCCAAATTATCGTGAAGTGTTTCTATACAGAATCAATTCCAATTCCCAGTAGCCTGATTACCTGTTACCTGCATGTTCAGGAAACCCCAGCCAACTGCAGTTTCCTTCAGATACCAATGACAATTGCTAACAACAGCCCAGTCTAAGCCCTACTGGACCATACCTGGCCTTCCCCATTAGATCTGTTCAGCCTCCTGGTTACCTGATGCTAGCACCCTGCACCCAAGTTATGCGTTTCCATTATTCTTTTCCTACACCTTACTCCAACAACCTTCCAGGGTTACAAATGCTAGAAAAGCTGCAGCTATAGAATGCACCAAGCATTCAGGGCAGGTCTTCATTGCTCTGTCATCAAAGCAGGGACAGTCACAGAGGGCCAGTAGTACCTAAACCATAGTTTTAGGTGTTTTGTTTGTTGGTTTGTCCCGTTACTCACACCCAGCACCACACCCCCAGGACAGGGTTTCATTATGTAACCCTGACTGTCCTGAAACTCACTCTGTAGACCTGACTGGCCTTGAACTCACACAGATCTGCCTGCCTCTGTCTTTTAAGTGCTGGAATTAAAGACCTGTGCCATCACCGCCTGGCCCACCATTCTTAAAATAACATATGAAAACCAAAAGACCACAGGAGAAGAATGCTGCTACTCAGAAGGAAACAATGCAGCAGGCCCTGGTTAGCCAGGTAAAATGAATACAGAGGGACTGTGACTCACACACAAGGCTGGCACAGCTCAAACCAGACAAAGTCCTAGCGCTGAGAAGGGGGCGTGGACATACAGTCCTGATACCAACCAAGGAGGTATCTGCAATTGACACCTGCTAGAAAGGAGAAAATAAGCTTGCTCCAGTGGAGGCCATGGGTGTATCAAGCACACCCCGGAGCCGTGCTCAGGAATAGTTGGCCAACACAAAACAGATGGCATGCTTCGTTTTGTTATTTTTTTTGTCTTACTGACCTTCTTGTTTTGAGAGAACATGCATACTTTTTGGTGAGTAGGGAGGTAAGAAAGATCTGGAAGAGTTGGGGGAGGGGAAGAATACCATCAAAACATATTGTATGAAAAAATTATTATATAGAAAAGGAAAAAAATGGGCTTCTGGCAGATGTGTCACAACAAACTGACTTCTCATTAGATGCCATAAAGAAGTCTCTCTTAGAGTGCTGCCACAGTGCTCTGAAGTCCAAAGCAGGAGAACTCACTGTGAAACCAGTCTACAAGTGAGCAGGGACTAGGGAAGCCAGTATTAACAGTGACAGTGGCTGCTGAGCCCCAGACATAATAACCAGCCCCAGGATGGTCTCTGTGAAATCCTGATTCTGGGGCCGTGAACCATGGGAAATGAACTGTCTGGCAGGTAGTATGAACTGGTCCAGTGAACCAGGCACGTTCAAGAGGGGGAGGCAAACTGCACAAGGAAGTGGTTCGCAGGCTGGATCTGGATGCCAAGGGCACAGAACTTCCTCTTAGAAAGGGCTTGCAAAAGACACAAGATAATAAAAGCATTCAAACCCCAGGCAACCTCACAGCAGGGACCCAAATTCTGAGTCTGTATTTTGAAGATGAAGATGGGTTTCAAGAGCTAAATGAGATTGGAATACTAAAGATGGGAATATTCAACAGAAACTTTCTTCAAAAGTATTGGATGATTTAACTGAAAACTTACCCACAATATAGTCTGGATTCTAATCCCATCACCACCTCAGTTCCTCAACATGCAAGAGTCATTTAGCTTTATCTCAGAGATGCAGGGATGGCTTAAGTACACAAGTCAACATGTGCAATAAATTGCACAAGTGAACATAAGGACAAAAATCACACAATCACTTCAGTAGATGCAGAAAAAGGCTTTAGCAAAAATCCAATATACCTTCATGATAAAATCATAGAGAGAGTAGGACTGGAGAGAACATAACTCAACATAATGAGTGCTATATATGACAACCCACATTAACCTCACTCTAAATGGAGAAAAACCTGAGCAATGACATTTAAACCAGGTATGAGATAGGACTGCCCACCATCCCCATTCTTGTTCAATATAGCTCTCAAACCATTAGTTAGAGCAATTAATCAGAAAAAGGAAATTAAAGGGATATAAATAAGAAAAGAAGCTAAACAATTTCTAGCTGCAGAGGATATTATATTTAAGAGATCTCACAAAGTCTACCAGAGAACTCTAGAGATGATTAACAATTTCAGCCAAGGGGCAGGATACAAAATAATTGTGTACAAATCAATAAATTTTCTATATGAATAACAAACATTGAGTAAGAAAATAAGGTACCCAGGAATAAACTAAGGAAGTGAAAGACCTCTACAACAAAAGCTTTAATTCTCTCAAGAAAGACACTAGAAAATGGAAGACAGTCCATGATCATGGATTGGTAGAATTAAAATTGTGAAAATGACCATTATGCCAAAAGCGACTAACAGATTCAATGTAATCACTCCCCTCCCCAAAATTCTCACAGAAATACTAAAACACTATCCTAAAATTTATTTGAAACCACAAAATACCTAGGATAGTCAAAGCAATCCTGAGCAAGAAGAACAATGCTTTCTTGTTTTAATACATTGTTTAATACATTGCTTCAAGATGTATTACAGAGGTATAGTAATAAAAACAGTAATATTACTGGCACTGAAGCAGACATGCAGGCCAATGGAACAAAATTAAAGACCCAAACATATAAATACAGCCATATGATATATGACAAAGGTACCAAAAACATACACTGGAGAAACAATAGCATCTTTAACAAATGGTACTGGGAAAACTGGATGTCCACATATAGAAGAGTAAAATTAGACCCATGTCCATCACCTTGCACAAAAACTAAGTACACATGGATAAAAGACCTCAATGTAAAACCTGAAACATGGAAACCACTAGAAGAAAATATAGGTGTGTCCTATAAGATAAAGGTGTAGGAAAGGACTTTCTGGATAGGACTCCTTTGCTCAGAGATTGAGGAAGACAACTGAACAATGGGGCTTCACACAAGTAAAAAGTTTCTGCAAACCATGGAACCAGGCAGAGAAGGCCCACAGTGGGCGAGAATCTTTGTCAGTTATATATCTGACAAAGGATTAATACCAGAAACAAAACCAGCTAACAAATATCTCAAAAATGTTCATCATTCTTAGCAATTATGGAAATGCAAATCAAGACAACTTTGAAATTTCATCTTTTCTTAGTCAGCATGGCTAACATCACAAACAACAAATGCTGAAGGATGATACAGAAAAAGAGGAACCCTCTTTCACTGTTGGTGAGATGGCAAATTGGTGCAGACATTATGGAAATCAACATGCAAAATTCTCAACAGACCAAGCATAAATCTACCACATGATCCAGCTACACCACTCCTTGGCATAGGTCTAAAGACTCAGCGTCCCACCCCACAGATACCTTCTCAGCCACAGCCACCGCTGCTCTAGTCACAACAGCTAGGAAATGAAACAACATAATTGTCCTTTAACAGATGGACGGAAAATGAAAATGTGGTTCATATAGACAACGGAATATTATTCAGCTCTAAAGAAAAGTGAACTCATGAAATTTGCAGGCAAATGGATGAAACCAGATAATACTATATTGAATGAGGTAAACCAGACAAAGAAAAACAAAACATGTTCTTGCTCATCGTTAGGTTCCTAGCTCCAAATCTTCAGATGTGATAATATAACCTGGAGGAACCATAGAAACCAGGAAAGTAAAAAGGTACGAGAAAGAAGGATAGCAAGATATGAATAATATAAAAGGGAAAATAGAAAAAAAAGACTTTAATTGGGAAGTGGTCAACACAGGAGAAAGAGGGAGGAGAGATAAATAACAGGAAGGATGTTCAAGAAAGCCTTAAAGAAACATTATTTTATAATTACCTAATATTACATATAACACATATAAGTATCTCTCTCTCTCTCTCTCCATCCATCCATCCATCCATGGCTCAGCAGTTAAGAGCACTGACTTCCTTCACAGAAGTTCAATTCCCAGCACCCAAGGGGCAGCTCACAACTGTTTGTAACTCCAGTCCAGGAGATCTGACACCCTTACATAGACATGCATGCAGGCAAAACACCAATGCACACAAAATGAAGTTATGCCACTTGGGCTGACACTGTTCCCCTCAAGAGCCATAGACCACCTAATAGAAACCTAGTACTAGGTGTAAGAAATCTCGTTTCCAGCTGTTGGTCAGGAAAGTCCAAAGGACTCCCCCAAAATTCAGGCTATTGTTGTTGCCCTTGGTAACCCCACTTGGAGGTTGGAGATAAATCCCCACTGCTGAAGAACCATGCACTTTGGACACAGGACTCAGATAATTTGAGCTGGATCTGATCTGAAAGCTTCATTCCTGAGGTAACTACACACACACACACACACACACACACAGGGGGGGGGAGCTTTAATGTGTTATCATGTACTTCATGACAAAGCCTGAAAGGACTTGTAAATGAGTAATTGCAGGGTCTTAAAAAAAGAAAAAAGAAAAAAAGGAATTAGAGGATTTATTATATCCAGGATAATTATGAATTCTGGCAAGGTTATAGAGGGGGAAAGTAACTTCAATTTTTTTTCTCAAATAAACTGGAACTTGCATGGCTTATTAAAAACAAAACAAAACAAAATGAATAGTATTAGAATTGTGCAAAGCAGACCCTTGACCTTGGCATACAGTGTACTGCGGGGACTTACGAGAGTACGCTGAACTGATAAGTCTGAACAGCTGAACTGATGGCTCAACACAAGTTAGATGACAGTCACTTTTATGAAGTGACTTCCAGTTTGGAAAGTAGGATAGATTAAATAAAAGACAACGATTGGCAGAAGAGTTATCAAGAATGATCTGGAAAAGACACCTTTCTTGGATATTTGGTCATGCTTCTATTCATTAGCTAATATTTATTAGCAGTTAATAATGTGCCAGGTGCCAGAGATAGACTAGTGACTGAGAAAGCAAAACTGCTGCTCTTAAAAGGGTTATAACCTACGAAGGAGATAACAAGTAATTATAAGACAGTATGGCAGCCCATAGGGAGTGAGTGGAGGGTGTTATGAAACACCTGGTCTGGGAGAAATTCTTGGATATCCAAGCTGAGATCTGAAGGCTGAAGAGCAGTTGGCCAGGAGAAAGAGGGGAAGAGATGAGGGAGAGGATCCCAGAAAGAGAAAAGAGACTCTGGAAATCTGAAGAGCAGTTGGCCAGGAGAAAGAGGGGAAGAGATGAGGGTGAGGATCCCAGAAAGAGAAAAGAGACTCTGGAAATCTGGAGGCACAATGGCACAGCCGGATTCAGAAACTAAAAGAAGTTAAAAGTCTATAGAGTATTAACATGAAATGAGGACGTGGTGACTGAGAGGCCAGGCTAAAGAGCTAAAGTCAGCGTCCTAAGATAAGAGGCTGTGTAAGACATACTGTGGACTTCGTGCTTTATTCTGCGGCATGGTGAACAAAAATGCCTAAGGATTAAGTTTTACAGAACTTCATTTTGTTTACTACATGTGTGTGCACATGCACGATCATGTTAGTGCACGCACAGTGTACAGGTAGAAGCCAGAGGACAACTTCGGGACTTGGTTCTCTCCTGCCATTGTGATCACCAAGAATCTAACTCAGGTTGCCCACTTGGACTGGAGTGCCTTCACCTGCTTAGCCATCCCAGGGCCTGAGGTGACAGGTTTTGATATGAAGCCTCTGATTTCATTTCAAATAAACCCTTCAGTTCATACAACATGGGGAAAGTGGTGTACATGTTGCTTTCCAGTTAATCACATTGTCCTAGGGAGGCCCTTTCTATTAAAACAAGACTTACTAGGTCTCTGCTCTATGCCAGCAACTAGGTCAGAGGCCCAGGAATACAAGACAGAGTCAGAAAGATACTATCTTGGATTTCATGAAGAAGAAAAGAAAACAGGAATGAGGAAGAAAGTGGCTGGGATAAAAGGCCACTTTGGCTGTTGCTAAGGGGCAAGTAAAGCCTCCCTGAGGTGACTTTTTTTATTTTGTTTTTTTGAAGACAGGGTTTCTCTGAACCTTTGGAGTCTGTCCTGGAATTCGCTCTGTAGACCAAGCTGGCCGCAAACTCACAGAGATCCGTCTGCCTCAGCCTCCAGAGTGCTGGGATTAAAGTCTTGCACCACCACAGCCTGGCCTGAGGTGACATTTTTATTTTCATTAATACCTCGATGATAAAGTAGCCACATAAACATGGGCAAGGGGCATTCAATATAAAGGACTGCTTGAGTTTTAGATCTCAGCAGTTTGATAAGTTTAGCTTAACATTTCATGTGGATACATCTGCAAACATTATAGGCTATTAATTAAAGGCATAAAAGATTAGAAAGCCATGTTCTTGGGTTAACTTTTGAATTATAATCATGTTAATCTCACAGGTAAAAGTAAATGGCATTTTTTCTACTTAAATTTTCTTTCTTTTTGGGGGGGGTTGAGACAGGATTTTTCTGAGGCTTAGGCTGTCCTGGAACTAGCTCTTGTAGACCAGGCTGGTCTCGAACTCACAGAGAGATCCACCTGCCTCTGCCTCCCAAGTGCTGGGATTAAAGGCATGCGCCACCACCACCTGGCTGTTTTTGTATTCTTAAGGTGCTGGGAAAGGGCATGGGGTTTTTGCACATTCTAGTCAAGTGCTACACCACTGAGCTACAAGTTCAGTCCTTTGACATTTATATTTGTCCATAAAAATGCCACTTAAAACTTAACTACTATTATTTTTCTTGACTCGGTACTAAAGCTGAAAGCCACTCCTTGTTGTTATCAAGGACAACAGGAGGTGTGGGGATGTTTTAAACAGAAAGACTGTGTCCAGAATTTTGTGTATTTACACACTTGAAAACTATGCTGGCAACAGAAACAATCAAATGTGCTCGAAAGGTATTACTTTTGAAAAAGGAAAAGTAGCTGTTGTATTAGAGTGGTGAAACAGAGTGGCCTTTTCTTGTTTCATAGTTTCATCGTTGTTACCGAAGTTCTCAAGAGGCAAGGCTTCGCCGAGGGAAGCCTTAGCTCGCAGCAGTACTAACCCTAAATGTTTGTAGGGCCTAAATAAACCCAAGAGTGCACCTCACTTAGGTTCCTGAAGGGATCTGTTTCTTTCTCCTGCCATTTGGGTGCAACGAAGCGGAAATCTATTACGGGAAAGATGAAGGGGTAAGAGCAATAATCGGAAGAAGCTTTCTGCAGCTGCTGCTAGTTAACCATTATTTAGTGAGCGCTTGCACTTGGAGGTGAGTACACAGCTATGCACATACGTAAGTACGTGATGTCAACACCGTGATAGACATTAGCGGGGTGGGGGGAGCCCCTGAGGAGCACGAACGATAGAGAAAGCAGGAGGCTCACTAGACGAAGCTACTGGAGAGCAGGACTTGTCAGGGGCTTACACTCCCTCAGTTTTGTATAATAGTGGATGTCGACTGTACAAAAGAGCGGAGGTGGCCAACTGAGAAGAGACGAGGTTCTGATCGCGGTTAGCAAAGAGTGAAGAGCAGTAGGGGACAAAGGATGAGGCGCCACTGCACAAAGGAAACGAACGTCAGACTTGGAAGTCGCAGAGGCAAGCGCACCGGCACCCGGATTCGGCTAAGCCCACACGGGTCACAGCACTCAGTTGTCACGCGGCCGTGGGCCTCCCTCCGGGAGCCACACTTCTCTGGCTAGAAGCTCCACAGTCCGCGGCGCAGCCGGGAAGCCTCGGGACGCTGCAGGAACTGCCCCCACTCGTGGCACCGCACCGCCCCCCACGCTGGGGCCAGCTGAGCCCTGCCCAGAGCGGACCCGCACGTCTGGAGGATGCACGCCCGGTGAGTGACAGGGCCACAAGTCCGCTCTAACCACTGGCTCTAGGGAACCGCTGAGCAAATCCGGGTTCTCCGAGCGCACTAGGGCCGGCGGAGGCTCACCTGGGAGGTGATCATGATGCTGGAGTCGATCAGGAAGCTCATGGCGAAGCCTCGGGAGGCCCATGCCCAGCCGTCTACACCTCAGGGGAGGAAGCTGCTGGTTGAGACAGTCCACCTGCTCTAGTAGGCGGCCTTCGCCCCCAGCCATCCGGGCTGGCCCGTCGCGTGCTTACGCCATCAAAATGCGCCCCAACCAGCCAATCAGCGATCGCATGTCCTGTTTGTATGGCGGGTGAGGGTGGGCAGGGCTGGAGGCCGGGCTCTGTTCCGCGGGCTGAGAGCTGCGGGCTGGGCTTTAAGTCCCAGAGCCAAGTGAGATTCCTTTCAGTAGGCAGAAGGAGCGGAGGCCCTGCAAGCGGCGTGTACTGCCATTACATATACTGACCATAGCTACAAACACGAAGTTAGCAATTTCTGGACTGAGAGTTGCGCGAGACAGTGAGTCACACCCCCGGCCATGCAAAAAATAAAAAGTGAGAGTAATGAGTTAGGCTTCAAAGCAATCCATGTATTGTAAATGTTACAGCTTTTGCTTGGTCTAAAAACAATGCCACATCTACAGGTGAAGGGATGGCAGGCAGGCAGGTAAGGTTTTTCTCAAGCATAACTAAGTCTGATATGACAAGAGTACACCGCCTGTAGTGAGTGTGCGCGCGCTCTCCGGACTCTAACGAGACCCCAGTGATAGTTCAGCGCTTTCGGTCGAGGAGTACTAGCTTGTGTGAATCCCACAACTGGCGCGCGCGGGGGTTGGGGGCAAATTATTGGAACACGATCAAAGATGATGCTTTGAAAGGACCGGAAGTATTGGAGGCTCAGGAACGTGAGAAAGAATGAATGGGTTACGCTGGTATAGCCGCAAGGGATGTTTGTAGGGGAAAAGCCTGGAAGTTTTATGAAGGCAGATTTTAACTAAAAATAAAGAATAGTTATTTAGGAGTCTGAAGGTGGGTTATTGTTAAAAAGTAGTTTCCCCTTTCACCACGGACTGTGTGGCTGTGGCTCAAATACAAAGTGAATCGCATTGTCCCCCTCCCCCATCCTCATTTAATGAAGGATCCTCATTCCCTGTACTGCAGTGGGGCTTATTCTTTTCCCACTAGAACCCTGGCTAGTCTTTATCATCACTGTGGTCTCCTACTCCGGCTCCAAATAACGCTGGGTAGGAGTGGCTGCAGTCAAGACCCGGAAGGTGTGTGTGTGTGTGTGTGTGTGTGTGTGTGTGTGTGTGTGTGTGTGTGTGTGTGTGTGTGTGTGTGGAAAGCTAGTATATAGACTCGGAGGGCTCAGGTTACTACAATATGAATAAATGAGAACACTCCCGCAGGTTGCTGCACATAGAGATGCCTTTCTCTGATCTGAAGTCTGTCCTACGAAGCAGCCTGCCCTAGTTAGGGTTACAATTGATGTGATGGAATAGCATGGCCAAAAGCAATGGTCAGAGCTAGTGCACAGGCCGTGGAGGGGTACTGCTTACTGGCTTTCTCACCCTGCTTTCTCATAGCCCAGAGGGCGGTGGTGACACACACTCTTAATCCCAGCACTCCCGGAGGCAGAGGCAGGAGGATCTCTGTGAGTTCGAGGCCAGCCTGGTCTACAGAGCTAAGGCTGTTACATGGAGAAACTCTGTCGGGGGGATGAGGGTGAAGGGGGGGTGAGGGGGGAGTACCAGCCCAGGTGTGGCCCCACCCACCATGGTCTGGGCCACGCCCACCATGGTCTGGGCTCTCTACAATCAATCACTAATTAAGAAAATGTTCTACAGGCTTGTCTACAACACAATCTTATGGAGATATTTTCTCAATGGAGGTTCCCTCCTCTCTGATAACTTTCACTCGTGTCACTTTGACATAAAACTAAGCAGCACACAGTCCAATCCCTGTTTTAAAGTGCTAGGGAGCTGTGGAGGCTGCCTTACCATGAGAGTGTCTTAAACCAAAGAACGTTGTGTTCCTGGTCCCACGTATCAGGAAGCAGGCAGCTGCCTACAATGTGGCACTTAATTGTCATTCAAAGCTATGGGATCGTGCAGAATATGGGAAAATTTACTTACATAAACACCATGCCTAATTAATTTGATCTATAATTTGTGAACAAAAAGAAGCACACACGGAGATGAAATTTAAAATTGAATACATAAGTTGAAATTGATAAATAAAAGAAACAATAGGGACTGTTCTGAAAATCTGGTCACCTGTCCTCTGTGCCTGGGTGGGACAGAAAGTTCTCTCTACTGCTAGTATTTCCTGCTCCAAGACTAATGACTTTCCAGATGGATGCCAGCAAGGCATTCACTTGTTTTAGGTAAGTACCTACCTTTATCATGGCTTGTGACTTAACACTGTGACTTTGGCAAGGCAATCAGAAAGGAGTGTAACGCTGGGGTTATTTCAAAGTCTGAGATAGCTGTTACTTGTTATCCTGGTATATAACCATCCCATACACTTTTTCATTTCCCACAAAATAGTCCACAGCCAGTGCAGCGGATCAAATGTTTTCTCCCTCAAATTCTCACAGATGGTATTTGGAAGCAGACCTTATGGGGTAATTAAGTCATGACGGGTGACACTCTCATGATCTCATGATCAGTGCCACTACAAGGAGGTGCACAGACAGGAAGGTGCATGTTTCCTCCCCCCCTCTCCTTTACTTACCCCTCTCTCCTTCCCACCTGTCATGTGAAAATACAGCAAAAGGCAGCCGACTGTAGAGCAGGAGGAAGTGACAGTGTTAGGACCTCAACGTGGACTTGCAGCCTTCCAGAACTGTGGCCGATAAGTATGTGATGTTTAAACCACCCAATCTATGGCATTTTGTCATATTATCTTGAAAAAAGGCAATTAAAATAATGTGTCATATAGTTTTCAATTAGAAACATATCATGAACATTTTCTCATGCTAAAGCCTTTTCATTTTCATTAACTCAATAACATTCCAATACTTGGTCATGATGTGATTTAATTATGTCTGTGGGGAGGAGAAAATATTCATATATATGTATCCTCCTGTCTCCCCCTCCTTAGCATTGGAATTACAGGTGCTCCTCAGCAAGGCAAGCACTGTATTTATTGAGCCTCCTGTCCATCTGCTACATGGCAAAGACTATGAACCACAAGTAATTGTTATGGAGATTCTTTCCTGCCAGCCTAGTCTCGCTGCTGCTTCAGCCCCAAATGAACACAAAGATGTTATATTAATTATAAAATTGTTGGCCAGTGGCTTGGGCTTCTTATTGGGCTAACTCTCAATTATTAACCCATTTCTATTAATCTATGTAGTTCCACATGGTCTTATCTTACCAGAGAATGCCTGGTGCATCCTTTCTTCCCAGTCTCACATGGTGTCTGTTTCTGCCTACCTTTCCCAGAATTCTCCTCGTCTCCAAGTTCTGCCTATCTTCCTGCCTTATTGGCCAACAGTGTTTTATTCATCAACCAATGAGAGAAACATATATACAGAAGGACTTCCCCCATCAAGTAATAATTTATCTAAACTTTCAACTTTCTTTAGGCAAGGGACTTTCGCTGTATGTGTCCCCAAATCCCTGAACACATACTGAGCTCCTGTGGCAGCTAGAGAGCTGTAGACTTCTGCAACAGACTAGTTGGTGGCTGATGAGTTGTGGGTGAGAAGGCTGCCATCTACCCTAGCAATTGCTTTTAGAGTTGTGTCTTCTACCAATTGCCTAAGACCAAGAGGGCATGGTCAAGTCTCTCAGAGATACTGTATTTCTGCCCATATTTCTGATGGCTTGCTTCCTAATTTGATGCCTTAGGTTTTTTTCCCAGCATAAATGATTTATACTATGTCTTTGTGGCTGTTATATTTTACATCAATGAAAATTAACACTTGTTTTTGTTTTGATGATCCTGGTCTCTTTGTTTTGTATCTTTATTTGTTGTACAGACTTTGTTTCTTGTTTTTTTTAACCCCTAAAACTTTAGAAGACAGAGATTGCTTTAGAGTAACACATATAACCCATGTTTTCTGTATGCTAACAGAATCAAGAAATCAGGTACTTCTACTTTCTCATGTTGGTCTTTTTCCCTTAATCCTTCCATCACAGCTCCTCAGTTTATGTTCATATAATCTATGACTTCAAATATGTAAAGAGGCATATTAAGAATTATTAGTATATAAGTTGTAGCTTGTAACTGTATTCACAATTATATTTAATTCACCATACACTTAAATATATTTAGTAATTATCTTTTGCTTCTTGTACACTTTGCCTTTGTGACTTTTAACATTTCCTTTTTCTTTGACCTGAGTGAATAACAAAATATTTTTTCTTTGAAGATGTTTTGCAGTTATGTTTTTGTGCAATTTAGAGTGTCCTTTGTTTCCTTACTTATTTTTAAATTCATTTGTTCATTCATTTTGTATATGCACATGCATGTGCTAATATCCATAGTGTGCCCGTGGAGGTCAGAGAACAACTTGAAGGAGTCAGTTGTCTCCTTCTGCCATGTGGGTCTGGGGATTGAATTTAGGCAATCAAATTTGGTGGCAAATGCCTTTAGCTACTGAGCCATCTCACTGGCCAGAGTACCTTTCAGTTGCACTGACTCCTGAGTGAAATTTTATCTGTTTGGAGTTCCTGGGTTCTATTTTCATTTTCAGTGTCCTATAGACATCCCATTATTTCTTAAAATTTAATATGATTATGAAAAAATATAATGTCATCAGATATTTCCTCTTTTCCTGGTAACTTACTTTTTTTTTTTTTTTTTTTTGGTTTTTCGAGACAGGGTTTCTCTGTGGCTTTGGAGGCTGTCCTGGAACTAGCTCTTGTAGACCAGGCTGGCCCCGAACTCACAGAGATCGCCTGCCTCTGCCTTCCAAGTGCTGGGATTAAAGGCGTGCACCATCAACGCCTGGCTTTTCCTGGTAACTTAATCTTGTTATTTATAGTTTATTCTCCCCCTGATATTCGGAGTCATCTGAGGGAAATGACCACTAAAATATGTTGGAGGAGATGGTATATGACTTCCAAGGTTAGGTCGCCGAAGACATTGAAGATCTCCCTGATCTTTTGGGTCACTTGCTCCAGGGTGGTCAGCCACCAGGTCTAAGCAGCCTCATGGAGAGGCCTGAAGAGGGGGCACCGATTTGGTAGCGTCAACTTGCTTCTCAGGTGGTCGCTTGAGTGAGTGGATTCCACCATAGC